TCTAAAGACAGGATGGAAATTTTACCGTTAAAGGTGCTCATAGTAGATCTTTAATTCTTGAAGTTTTAGTTTAAAAAAACTTCTCTTGCCAGTTGCAATACAAACACCAAATGTGAATTACCATATTTTTTTCTTTTTCTTTTTATTAAACTGCAAAACATGTTTTGAAATCTGTTTTCATCTTTAATAAATGAATATGCAAAAAAAGTAATTTTCTTTCAACAAGTTATTCTTTTTCAATGTAAAAAAATAAATTTGATCTAAGTTGCAAAATTAGGTACCTCCATGAGATTGTTAAAAAAAAAGCATAGCATGATGAAAAAGATGCCAAACTTGAAAAAAAACAAAATTTTATCGTCTAAATGTTTGTTATTATTAAGAGGAAAGATCAAAGTATTTTTGGGGTATTTTTTTACATTTTTTAAATTGTTCCTAGCACGTCCAAAATTTTTCGTTAAAAATCTTTTTTTTTTTGAGTCATCAAAATTGACAGATAATCAATCATGTCAACCATTTTTTTTTCCATTTTATAAAAAAAATGAAAATCTCAGTTTGAAATTTTTTTAAAAATCAATTATAATTTTTTCAAAACTTATTTTAAGAAAATCAGAAATTATAATGTTTATTTAAAATATTTTGAAACAAGCATTAGTTTCTGTGCAGAAAAATGTAGTTTTGAAAATAAAACAAAGCAGGTCATAACATTTTGCGTCACTTGACAGGTGATGAATGACAATTTCATCATGTATTGACAGTTTATGTGAGGATAATTTGTTCTACAGAAGGAGAGAAGTGAAATTATTTAGATTTAAGTGAACAAATTATTTACCTCGTTATTTTTAAGGAAAACTTTCAGCGCTCTAATTTTTTTTTTTTTTTTTTTTTGTACTTAGCTTTCACCTTTACGTTTACGATGCTTTATGGAAAATATATTATAAAGAAATTAAAATAAGACTGTTGAGAGTGAGATTAAATTTCATAAGAAAGGTATCTAATTAATTTATAGGTACCTTTCTTATGAAATTTTATCAGAAGTGTACATAAAATACTATAATTTTATGTACATTTATTACATTTTACTGTGTTATTTGTATTTCCATTCATTTTATTATTAATTTTGATATTTCATTTATGGAAAAATGTCATAACTGAGATTAATATAAAAATAAGATCATATAAATTTCATAAGATGATACTGATACTTGTAGGTACCCTTCTCAGTTGAAATTGAAAAATCAAATTAACTTCTCCACACGTGTTTTGCAAAAATAAAGGCCTTAACAGCAGGGAACAAGGCTTAACTAAAATAACGCAACTTAATTGTATTCTTGCTGGTCTTCTGCACTTTATAATTACAGCTGTATTATAAACACAAAATTACATTTCTTAATTACTGCAGGTCTTCTGATTGGTCAAAGTGATACAATTTACAATGCGGTAAAAAAAGATCTATCTCATAAGGACATTCACGAAACTGAATGTGGCTTTCAACTAATTTTATATTTTAACAACTTAAATGTAAAAATCTAAAATAATTAAATAAATAAACAAATAATTGTATTAAAAATTCATTTTTCATCGAAAAAAATTTTTTTGCTTTCAGAAAATATTGTCCATATTCATAAAAACAACTAAAAGCAAATAAAAGCATTTGAAAGTAAATAATACCTTTGTTTTATTGAGTTTTGTATTTTACAATTCAGAGCTGATTTTCAGGTGGCGGCAGGGGTCTAATTACAAAAAAAAAAAAGAAGAAATACATGATTTGCTTTCCTCAAAGCCTTGTGCTTTTAACTAATATAATCACTAAACTGAATGCAATTGAATTTCTAGAGTTTTCATAAAATTAGTTATGGGTGGGGGGGGGTAATAAATATAAAAACAAAAATTTTTGCCATGACTTTAAAAAAAGAAAACATATTTATAATTTCTATCATTTGTGAATAGTTTCTGAAAGTTTCATTAACATCCGACAATTATTTGTATTTTTGCAAGATTTTCCAAATTAATGTCTGTCATCCAAAAAAAAAAAATTTGTTATTTTACTAGTTCCGGTGATACAAAGAGAAACAAAGAGGTTTTTTTAATCAAATTTAGAATGTTCTAAAAGAAAGGAAATTTTTTAAAAAAATTAAAAAAAAAAACTTTGGTCTTTCCTCTTAATAATAACATAAACATTTAGATGATAAAATTTTGTTTTTTTGTCAAGTTTGGCATCTTTTTTCATCAGACTATGCTTTTTTTTTTTTTTTTTTTTTTTAGCAATTTCAAAGAAAAAAGAAAATTATGTAAAATGTCTACTCTCATTTTGGTCCAATTATGACTGAAAAAATTTAAAGCTGAATAAGTTATTTTTGTTGCAATAAATTATTTTAAAGGTAGACTTTAAAAATGGTGTTATTGCCCTTTATATACCCACAATTTTTTTCTATGTAATCCATATTGTAAATAAAGGCCATGTTTTGTACTTAAGCCTCATAATGCAATCACATTTGCTGTTTTCATTACAAATAAAAATAGAAATGGAATAAAATTTCATATGTACATGTCTTGTTTGATATGTTTACATTTGATTAACTAAACCTGATTAATTTAAATTTTATTATTGTAATGGTGTTTCCCTTAAAACGGTATAACCATAAATGACTTTATAGCTAAATGAGAACAAACATGAATAAATGAGTTAATGGTGTGTAGATAAATGATGAAAACACATTGATTAGAACAATATTTAAAAGTCATAACCCATAAAATCCTTAGATTTTATAGTCTGTAGTGTGAAACACTTTGCACAACATATGTAACATTAACATGAAGTAAAGAAACTCATAATTAACCTTGTGGTCATCAAACTGTTGTAACTAGGTTAGGGGTCAAGTGTTGAACAAAAACTAAGTGTTGAAAAAATAGACAAACAAAAGAGTAAAACAAGACAAGATAGAAACATTTATTCTATCTTTTGTGTAGAGAAAATTTAAAGGAATTTTCATAACAGTCTCTGTAAATAATGAAGGAAAAGTTGAACTTACTCTGCTGGTGAATCAGTGAGTGTGTCAGGTGTACTGCCTATGCCACATTGTGTCTATTGCATGAAGTGCCAACTTTTGTATCCTGTCATGATATCAGATCAAAGTGAAAGAGAGCCAGCCTCTCAGGTTCACAGCATGCATGCCAAAAAGTGAAATGGGTTAACTTCTACTGATAGGTTTTTTCACACATGCATGTCTGGCAAAAGGGTTTAACATTTTCTATATTCCCCCCAATAGCAAATATAGTTATCAATATGTCAGTACCTTACCTAATGTATGTATTGAAATGTCTTAGAAATTATATTTGATACTTTCCAACTAGATTTTGTTTCCATAGTTGGTGTGGTTATTTGCTACAATATAGCTGTTTTGTTGTTGGTCATTCTTTTTTGTAGTGTTGAGGTTAGTCTCATTGGTATTGAGGTCATCATCTGTGTGATGAATTTTATACTAAATGCAGATTTAAGAATTTATCAATTTTTTAACTTTGATATTTTTTCTGCACATTAAAATGGTTGTTGGTTTCCTTTATTATTTTATATAGACCCTGGTATGTAGGATGCAATGGCTTTCTGACAGTGTCATTACATACAAACATGTATTTACTGTCAAAGACATTTTTAGCAATGTACCATTGTCTGTTTGCCAGGTGTGCTGGAATAATTTGTATTTTGGACACCTTGTGTTTTAAATCTTTTACAAAAATGATGTAGGATCTAGGTCTTAGTTGTTTTGGTTAATGGAGTGAATTTCAAGGAATTAAACTGTTTTGTTTTCATCTAACTTTGATGTTTGTCATGTTTCCTTAGAGGGTTCAGCTATGTGCACATATGGATACATTGAAATGTACTAGGAAATCAGCTTCTAGTATAATTATCCTCATATTTGCTTTCACAAATGTCCAAGTGAAACAGTTTAGAGTAAGTTCTCATTTACCATAAATCTGGATTTTAGAACCAGTTGCTGCCTAGAGTCGGAATGTTGAAAGGGTTAATTTATGCAAATGGGGGTCAACAAGGAATGAGTAGCCATTGTTTTTATCCTTTATATAAAACTAGCAACATTTTGTAAAAGTTTAGCAAAATAATTTAACATCTCATCTACACACGTGAAGCAATTTTTTCTATATTTCTTTTCATTTTTCAATGTAAAATCTTAACTAAGAAGCTGTAAAAAGGACACTTGAAGAAATTGTGTACCATAAATTGTTAACATGTGGATAAACTTTAAGAGATTTTTTTATTTCAGAACACTACAATATTTAAACCATTTTTAACAGCACAAAACCTAAGTATATCTTGAAGGAACAGAGACATGTTGAAATTAACTGTCAAAAATGGACAGATGATATAGCTGCTTAAGAATTAAACAACTTTTTACGTTTTGACAGTTAATTTCAAAATATCTCCATTCTTTCAACCTCCAATATATCTTATATCTTCTATTTCTTTATAAAAAAAGATTAGAAACATAAGATGACCCATGAAAGAGCAAAATAGTTTTATTTGTTAAACATAATGACTACTTTAATATTAAATTTTATTTTAAATTATTGGTTTTGATTTTGTGTAAAATCATTTCTTAAATCAGTCTAGATACGTTTGTACTTGAATTGTAGAAAGATATCAATCAAATATGTAAATGTAGAATATCAAGATCATTAAATATATGAAATTAAAATTTAATATAAAAAATGTATCAACTAATATTTTCAAAAATTAATATCAATTAAAACTTGCCAGAATTGAACGGGATTGGGTCATCCATATTTGGAATTTATTTAGCTGTAATACCATCAGCTTGAATTGAATTTAGGCAGAAATTTAAAAATTTTTACTTGTGATGTTGGTTCAAAAGAAATTGAATTGATAATTGTAACAAAAAATGAAAAAGAAAATGTAACTTAGAATTTTTGAAAAATATATTTTTTGTCTTGTTTTTAATATATCTTTCATATATTTCTACTTGTAGATTTCAAGAATGGCGCTCAATGAAATTTTTTGAGTTTTTAACTCCTGTTGAAGCAAATGTTAGAAATAAAGCATTGTCTCTTCCAGAGTTTCCCTATGAGGAGGTAAATTTCATTTTGGACAAATAGAACTGTGATGATAGTATAAGTACTATAATTTCATTATCAGTTTTAAATATTTTGAGATTGGTTTAAACAAAAATTTTTATAACATTCAGTATAACCTCTGTATGTGAGATTTTTTTTTTTTTTTGACTGAGTCCTTTAACTATTAGCATATTAGCATTTATTCTTGTATTCATCTAAAATCCAGAGTATTTTTTGTATAACAGAGTTACGGCCCTTATAGGTAGCGTGATGCCGTGAAGGTAGCTATATTTATTAATGAGAATGAGAATTATAAATTGGATAAAAGTTAAAAAGCTCAAAATAAAAAGGTGGTTTTAAAGTAGGAATCTCCACAATACCTTAGCTTTAAAATTAATTTATAAAAATGAAAAATCTTTTTCCAAGCTTTTATTTTTGTTTTAATTTCAAGCTAATAGATTAAATTTAATATTTCCTATAAGTACTTTGCTGTATAATTTAATTGACTGGAAAGAATTTTTTTTTTTTTTTTTTTTAGCACCTTTTTTAGTCATCTTTCATTACAATGTCATATTCTTTATTAAAAATTCTTCCAAAAATAAAATATACTTTTCTGAAATTTTATTTGTGGAAGATTAGCTGATTTAAAGTATAATTAATCTGATTTGAAACAAATATTATTTGCTTTAAGTTTAAAATATTGCAGAAATACATTTTTTAACCAGACACTAGCTGTGTTCTTAACTGACAGAAGATGACAGTACAAGATGAATACAGATCTAATGTTCTAAGGAGACTATTTGTAAAACATAATTGAAGAAAATGACGTCGACATCTTTTTTATTTAATTTTTAAGTACTCGGTAATCTTAAAAAATTTTTTAAATATTCTCCGTAATCTAATGTATTATTGAATTTTAGAAATTTTGGCTTTAAATTTACATCGCTCTTATTTTCTGATAATTTTCTGTGTGGTTGCCCATATTTACAAAAATGGCACATTTATACACTAATAAGAAAAATTATTTTTAAAATATCAGTATTTGATGATTTGGATTAAACTTTTCCATTTATGATTAGTAAATATAGCTTTCACTTAATAATAATATCATCAAAACTGCTGAAATTAATACAGAATTTTAAAAGATTTAAAACTAATTAAATTTTTATAATTAAAAAAAAAAAAAAAAAAAAATTCATTGAAAATTCATTTTTATTAAGTCAATTTTTTTTTAAGACAATATATTTTATTTATAAAAAACAAAAAGCTTTTCTAATTAAATAATGTCATAGTTTTGTTGCATTTTTACTTTACAACTGAGATCAGATTTTCAGTAAATGATGTTTCTGTTTGACAAAAGCAAATTGATTTAAATTCTCTAAAGAGTCCTGCTTTTAACTAATAAATACGAAGATCCTGGAATTTTAATTTCTCAAAATTTCATAAAATTAAGTAAGTAGGTGTTAACAGATGTAAAAAACATTTTTACCAAGATTTTCTAAAAAAACAATATTTCAAAAATAATTTCATTCATTTATAATTAATCCTGAAAATTTCATTAAAATCCAACGATTATTTGATTTTTGCAAGAATTTCCAAAACAATGTGGGTTTTTTTTTTTTTTTGCTTTTTTTTACTGCAAAAAAGATGCTAAATTTCCCATTTTTTGGCCTACCCACTGATGCAAAAAAAAAAAAGATTTTTAACCAAAATTTAGAGTGTGCTAGAAACGTTTAAAAAAAATATTTTCTTACAGATCATCAAAGAATTTCTTGTTCCAAAAGATAAATTACCTACAAAGGATTTGCACTGGAAACAACCCAATATTAAAAAATTTCAGGTGAGAATTTAAATACAATTTTCCATGCTAATAATTATGGTTTTATAATAGTGTAGACACTTTTACATTACTATTATTTGAGGATTTAAAAAAATATTGGATTTGGTGTTTGATCTTTTATTTTCAAGAAATTCAAGTCATTTTTTCTTAGTTCCAATCTGCTGTTTTTGCCAAGTTTACAACATTTCAAAAGATGAGATGGTAAAATTTGCATGTTTAAAGATTATTTTTTTCTTTTAAAAATTTAACTCTATGCAACTGTAAGTCAGCACATGATTACATTTGTATGCATGTCACTGTATCCAGTAATCCATGTTTGTGTGTGGACTTGTCTATATCTGGCTGTGGTACCATGAACATATCATCCAAAGGGAACACAAAGTATTTATCTTTAACACATTATTTATATCTAGTTATACTGATGAAAAGAAAATTGTTCTTGGACAACTGTATATTTTCAGTTGTTGTTTTATGTATTCATGCAGTAACAGAAATAAACCTATTTGTGTGTTTTTGTTTGAAAAAATACTATCATAAATTATAGTAAAATGCTATAAATGTGAATAAATGTAACACCAAGTTTATAATGTTTGCAAATAAAATAGTTAAATGTGAAAAGAGTTTATAACAAAGGAATTATAGTGCTAAAAGAAATGGTAGTTTTTATGAGTAATTGTGAAATTACATTATTTTGTAATTTTTGCAAAAAAAAAAGTATCAAAATTTGGCATATTAAGTTTTCTTGCTTTTTATTTTGATTTTTTTCTTATATTCTGGATGTTGTACAGGATGTTTCAATTGGAGAATGACAACATCTATAAAAATCAGGGGCCAGCATTGAAAGAATATTGAAAATAGTATTTAATTACAGGTACACAATGTTCAAAAATATATTATTCTCCAAAGCTTAGGGTTTACTTTCCAAAATCTGTAAGTGATACTTTGAGCATTTATCTGCTTTCAATATGGTAAACAAAAATAAGTTAAATCTTCCTTAGACACTCTTTTACTGGCAGGAACATTCATGATTGGCCACCACCAGAGCTCACTCCATAGACCAGATGTGATGCAAGGAGCGTAATTTGCAGAAAACGACTTTTGTTATTTCATTTTCTGCCTTTGCAGCATTCACATCTGGTCAGCATACAGAGTATGAATCAGAATTAGATCTAATTGCAATGGAGTATAACATTCTGTATTCTTATCAGTTGGCTGTGCTGTGGAATTTGAAGTGGCCAAATGGATTCTACATGAATTGACAAAGCATATGAAATTATTAATTTAAAGGGATCTCAACAATGCTGACACCAATTCTTGAAATTTGTAATAAATGGATCTTAATCTGAAAAATATTTAGATAGTAGCAAGTCTTCCAGGTGTTGCCTAAAACAATCTCTGTACCAAAACAAGAAACTGTTTACTGTACAGTGGTAAGCAAAAGAGCTAAACTCCAACTTTCAAGAAATTGATTGCATAAAACTTTGCATCAACACAATCTATTACTGATCAACAGATATGAACTAATTATTCTGTATGTAACTCAATTAAACGCTTCACAAATCATTGCTGAGAAATTAATGGAATTGGAGCATGAACTTTTATTACATTTATTGTAAAAAACTCATTTGACATTTTAACTGAATTTATTTGCATTTTTCAAATCTATGAATCATTTCCAATACAATAAAAGATTTACAAATCAGGAAACTGCATTTGAAGAGTTCATAGTGTAGCAATACAATTTCTCACACATCCTTAGGAGATGAATAAATAGATTTTTTTTTCCTTTTAAGTCAATTTAATGAACAGGATTTTTTAGGAATCTTGTCTTCAGTGCATCTTTGAATTGAGAAACATAAAATTTTGTTAGTGATTTTTAGATAGCTGTAAAAGTAAGGTCCTTTGAAAAAACTGACCACTCAAAAGCTGTGTGGGTGGTCCCCTTTTCTGGTCAATGGAACACAAATGAATGGAAAGAGGTGGTGTTTTCCCAGCAAGTATCCATATAATGAGTCAGTCAGTGAAACAGCCAGCAGTCAGACAGTCAGGCATCAAGTGTGTAGGGTTCTTTTTCCATGGCTGGAAGTTAGTGAAATACCAGAAGTTTGCTTGCTTGAAGCAGAATGAAGATATTGTTGATTAAGTGAGAAATCGTTTTTTTTTTTGCTACTTCCCAACCAATGTCTTGAAAAGCATTTATTGTTATTCTTTGTTGAGGTTGATCACAGCCGTAATATTAAAACAACCCTGTAGAACATAGTGAGCCCAGTGTATATGCATACAGCCAACCATGTATGTCATCACAGATTGTGCAGTGACGTATCATGACAATAGTATAAAAAATTTGAATTCTATTAAAACAGAATATGTAGTATTAAGTTGTCAAACAGCTGTTAATGGAATATATTTTAACTAAAAGAATATTCTTTTGTTAAAACATTTTCTATAACAAAATCAAGCAAGCTAAAAATATTTCTCATTGCCAACTCATTTTCTCAATATTTGTTGCTTTTAAGATTTATCATTTTGGTGTAATTGGCAAATATTAATGACAGCTATTTAGTTTTTGTTTATGTACAACAAATACATTTATTATCTACTTAGGAAATTACAGCCGAAAAATTAGAGTGGACACAAGAGTATGCCTTGAAAAAAATTATTCCTCTTGTAACCAAATGGACAATGCTAGAGATCATAGGTGTCATCCCTTCCAGGCACCATGATGAATATATTATACCAGAAAAGTAAGTATTTAAATGTTTGTTTTATTTTTATTAAACTGTTTATATTTAAAACATTGAAGAGTAAGAAAATGTCTTGAAGAAGAAATTAAAGGATCACTGGAATTTTTACTATGCTTTTTTTTATTATACAGATTTGAAGTGTTTTAGTAAAAAATTGATTCTGACAAATGTCATGGCCAAAGGAAGCTCTAAAGAATGCTAATGTACAAAATTTATTTCCTTTTTTTTTTTTCCCTTTTTTTTGTGAATGGACCAGTGCCCTGGTTTGTATGATTTTCAAGAGCCTACAAGTTGTTTTGCATCAAAGTCACATATTTGTGATGTGTAATAAAACTGACAAAGAAGTTAATCATTAAAAAATTTATTTGAACACTTGTAGGGAATTTTAACAATCACTTCACCATTTGTAGATTACTAACCATAGATGGTCCAATCAATGAAATGGTTGTTTTAAACTTTTTATTAAACTAAAATGACTTTGCAAAATATATTTCAAAGGAATAAAATATAAAAAAAGATTGTTGTAAAGAAGTGCTAAAATTTGTAATTTATGAGGTTCCTGTTGATCACTAGCTTTTAGAAGACTTGTTATAGGTGTGAATGAGAAGTTTCAAAAGAAATGAATTTCAACACATGGAGGAACTTTATATATGTATTTTATATAAAAAACAACATAGTTTACAAAAGCGAAAGAAAAATTATGTGTACGTGATAGCTCAAAAAAAAAAACAATTATATGATTAGTGGTAGTATGTGTTGTCCATGGGATTTGTTTGAAATTAAGTAGTCAGTTTGCCAGGGGGAAATCCTCAATGTTGTCACTAATACATTCCAAAAAACAAGGTGTGGTAATCCCCCTCAAGATACAGACATAAGTTTTTATTAATAATATTTTGAAAACATAAAAATTTAATCGATTTAAATTTTCTCAAAGTTATCAAAGTCTGAATTCTCAGATCCTGAAAGAAAAAGCTCAAATAAATAAAACAAAGTTTTATTCATTGAATACTGAAATGCATTTGTCTAAATCACTTTATTTTTTTTATGAAAGAAAGTTAAATACCCTCTCTTATTAAATGAGCTTATAGTAAAAACTTTTGAACATACTTTGATGTTTCAATGTCATTTGTTTTTTACCATCTGCAGGTAATCAAGCCTCACTGTATATGCATTTTATATTTAAGTAATTATTTAAACAAAATTTATCCCCTTTTTTTATTTAGTATTTTTAAATTCTTTTTGTTTATTGTCTAGTGATCTTTTAAAACAAATAATGAATTGATTCTTTACTGGAATTCCAAACTTGTGTAAATGATTATTTTGTTATTTTTCATTGGTTTCAATGAGTTTTTGAAGAGATTTTTTTCTCTCTTGTCACCTGTTATAATTGCCCTAAACTAATAAAGTAACTTTGGAGTAGAATTTCGAAGAAGCTGCTAATAGAAAACAGTTGAAGAATGTACCTGAAAGAAGATTGTTTGTGCTATATCAGTTAGCTCACTAATCAAGATGTTTTGAAATATGTGTCTTAGAATTTGATAGCATGTCAGAGAAACTGGTGAAATAACATTTGAAAAAATAAATAGTCTCTAAAATAAATTTTAGAAACATATCAGAGCAATATTGCTTCAAGATTTAAGAATGTTCTATTTAATGATTTTAATGTTTGAGTTATTATGCAAGAATACGTTGTCATCGTTGGTTTAGAGAAGATTTGCTAAAAAGCTTATTGCATGGGTATTAATTGATTTTAAGTAGAAGAAACTGAAACAAAACATAAAACTTGTAGAAATGTAGAAAAACTTTTGAAACTATAAAATATAATGCACTGAGTAGGTCTTATGGGGAAAATTGTTAGTAAAATTAGAGTAAATGTATACAATGTTGATTTAATAGATTTTATGTTATGCTTTGTATTATGATATAAATATTTTGATATGGCAAACAATTTTTCATTTTTTTAGAATTTTAAAGACACGGATCAAACAAGGTATTCCTTGCTTTGAAGTAAAATGGAAACCTTCAGGTAAATAAAATTTTTGTTCTTTTATTTACTTTTTAACTTTCTATTGTTTTATGGTTTTTGTAGTTTTTCTCAATGCATCCACTTTTATTGGTACCATCTTAGAGCATGCTCTTAAAATTTAAATAGACATTTATTAGATTAAGTGTAAGGCCACCTGACCAGTATAAGTTTTGTTAGTGATATGGAAATAACATAAAGAAAATTGGGCAAAGTATTAAACACTATTCTTGCAAATAAACAAACAAACTAATAAATAAATATTGTTTAACATTTTTGTTTTTAATTCTTGAGAAAAAAAAAGTATAAATCCAGATGATCCCAAACTATTTTAGTGAATTTATGTGACGAGAACAAATGAAAGAAATACCTAGAAAATGCATTTTTTCCAAATTTATAATTAAAGTTACTCATAGTTATGTAGTTAAATTCCCAGATCAATTCTGTGGACAAGACAGATAGGTATAAAATGACAAGTGGGAAAAAATCTTAGATTTTGCCAACGCGTTTTGTCTTCCGATTTTTTAAAGGCAAAAATTAAATCGAAATGTCTTTGTTGTTATAGTTACATTAAAAAATCCAAATTTAAAAAGATAGACGCTTATATCTAAGCCTTTTTCTGGTTAATGCAAATTTCCTTTATACTAAGAGATTTTTTTTTTTTTTCCATGTCGACAATATAGTTAAATTCCCAGATCAATACATAGTTATTTGTTTATTCAAATTTTCTTGTTCTTTTGTTCAGACATTTATATAAATAAATTTTTATAAATAAAAAAATTTGTTTTTATAGTTACTAATTATTATATGGGAAATGATAAATATTGCATTGTAGTTGATTCACATTTTTTTATAAACTTGTAAATATAAAATTATTCTTGTAAATAAACACTAATAAAAATAACTGGTGTTTAATTCTTTTGCTGTCCATTCTCAAGAAAAATGAAAATGCATAAATCCAGTTTTAAATGTTTGGGCTTTATTAAAACTCTTAAAATAGTTTTTTAAAAGAATAAAAATTGCCAAGCAAGTATACAATATTAGCAGTGTCAACAGAGAAACCATCTTTTTGACATACCATTTTTTTTTTTTTTTTTTTTGTGGGTATGAATGTTAACCTTTGTCAAAAATTAAATATTTAGACCATATATATTAATTGAATATATAAATGTGTAAGTCAGGCAATTGCGGATTTCTTTTATTAGCAGGAAAATAATTAGCATTTCAAAAGAAAGAAAAAGTGGCATCATCTCTGTTATACAGCTTGCTAAAAATAGGATAAATTATGTTACACAAGTTGCTGGAAATAGGCTGATCTAGTCAGTATATTTGCTGCTGTTTTTCTAGGAAAAGATCAGCTAAGATGTAGTAACAACGAAATATAGAATGAGTTCAATCAGCAAAATAAATGTTGATATGATAATGAGTCTTTTCAGAATTACAGAAGATAAAAGATAATTCTTTTTCATTAACATAGTTTGTTTTATTTTCTTATTTGAAATGTTCTCTAGCAATCATTCGTACAAAAATATTTTTATGATTTTTATTTTCTGTAAAAATATGATCCCAATTTCTGTTTATCATTGGTTTTATATTGAAAAAAAGATATATTGTAAATATATGGCTATCCAGAATTCTGCAGTCTAACTACATTACATTTGGCAACTTGTTTCATGGATTCAGCTGATGATAAACCTAATCACACACCAACAGTTCACTAGCAAGTCGCAAAATATGTTTAGATTAGTTTTACACCTTATGTTATAAATATGTTTTGAAAACAATCTTAACTCTTGACACTTACTATTTTGATTATACCCTGGAGGTTGCTGGAGATTTTTCTATATGGCAACTTGATACTATTACTTTATTTATGTTATGCCTCTTTTAATTTTATCATCTTGTCTAAATCCTGCTCAGATCTCAGAGTGGCTTATCAACAAAGATTTGTAGGTTGGCTTTGCATGATGGATATGTTGCTTCTTAATCTACTCTTCAGACTTCAAAAATATCTTTTTCCTTATTTTGGGAAGGAACAGTACTGGTCACGTCACTCAAAATATACTCACTATAAAGTCAAATTAGAATAGCTTCAAAGCAATAATCAAGACATTGACAATGATCTTGTAAGCACTTCTGCTGGATTGTTTATAGATAACACTTCCTTATTACCTAAATATAACATTAGAGCTAATGACTAATTCAGTGTAAGTACCCTGAGCTTACTAAGCTAATACATGGTGATCCATTTCCCACTTATCAACAGATCTACTGCAGTTATAATCTATGCAAAACTCTTGGGTATGAATGTTACATATTCCCTACAAAACAAGCTCATCTTTTGATACTTCTATACATGAGTTTGTTTAAATATTGGCACTTTCCCTTGTTTTTTAAATTGATAATTGACTTCTCTAAAAATAATGTGTTTCAGATATTGTGATAGTTTCAGCATTCTTCTTCTTAGCAGCAAATGAAGGAATGTATAGCTTTTTATAACACCTTTCACTGCCACCTACACTTGGTGGTGTAACCGTGGTCCGGTCCTCAGGTTCTTAGAATGTTTTAATCATGGAGCTAACTCTGCACTGATCAAGCTGGTCACTGGTCACTTCAATCCACATCAACTCTGCCCACGTTGTTTTATTGATCTCAGAGCAATGAAAGATTGAATGCCATCATAATAGCAGTGCTGGTTCAAGCCATGGTGGGTGCTATATTAAAGAAAAATATCTTCATAATGAAAAAATAAAATGAAAGATTCATGGGGTCAGTCTTCAATTGGTTTATATAGCTCTTGGTACAACAAAAATGAACCCTTCCTGAATCAATCTCTATAGTAACACAGGGCCTTGTCTAAACTTCTAGAGGGCCAGATTTGAAGTCTTGGAATCAGGAAATCTGGTGGCAGCTGACATGGATTTCAGAGGCACTCGATACAGGTTCTCAGCCCAAAGTATCCGAGTTATCAAAAGTCATCTGCTTATATGCACTTTGGCCCAAAACTAGCATGAGGCTGAAGGGTTCTGGAGATTTGGTGATTCCCCAATTTTCATTAATTCCAATAAAGGTTTGCTTTGTTCCCTATTTCTGTTTTCTTAATCAACTTTCCAAATTTGGAGAATTATCCACCTTCCTTGGGAGTAGTCACAGGGATTGCCTCTCCTTTAATTCTAACTCTATCCACTTCTCAGGGCTGGCATAACTGTCTTTGTGACAAATCTAATTTTTAAAGTGCCTAGGAGAAAGGGCATGGTTTATTCTCCTTGTTAATTTCAATTCTCTGACTCCTTTCCTGTGTCCACTTGTCCACTGAAAAACCAGATCACCTGCCTGTTATGACAGATTGATTTTCATAACTCTAACCCACACAGTGTTCATTCTGTTTTCATTTCTCAATTCGTTTTCGCTAACAAAAATATAATTCCCATCTGCTCCTCTTTTCACCAGTGACATGTGTTTTTCTAATTTCCCAAGAAAGAAATAAAGCCATTTCCCAATTTGCTTTACCTGCATACCAGATTTTCAATCGATAAAAACATGAAGTAAACTCTCTTCCAATTTGCAGGGGTAAGTCAACCCAGATGGCCCTTTCTTCACTTTCACACATTACCAGGGAAAATGTATTCCATTCTATCTTCCGGTTTATATTTCATTTTGGGCTTAACCCTTTTTCTGCTAAGAATTAATGTTTAACCATCTCACAGCCTCAGTGTCACATTTTAAGGCTTCTCAAAAACCTGACGGCATAATCACTTGGTAAGCTGACTGTTTTAGTCCTATTTTCAAATTCTTACAGACTTCAGTTTATTTTATTTATTACAGCTTGTGTGAAATTTTCAATTGTAAAATACAGGTTTACATTAACTATTTTATTGTTTTTTTTCTTGTCATTTCTCAACAGATACAACAGATGAAAGTGATGAGAACTATATATCTAGTGAGGAACAAGAAATCTTTAGAAAATGTTATCCATATATTGTTGAAAAGTTTTCTCAATGCGAAATTTCTAAATATCAGGCTGAAAATAAGGGTAACTTTCTTATAAACAGCTGTTTTTTTTTTGTTTTTTTTTTTTCATTTGTTTTCTGCATTTCACACAAATGTTGGAATCATTGCCCCTCGCTCCAACACAACAAAATTTTTCATCTTCGCATTAAACTGAAAATATGGACTTCATTACAATAATTGTCTTCGAAATTTTTATTTAATAACATATTTACTAATTTTGAATTATTTTTCCACTGGTATTGATCATCTATTCTATAATAAAGGGCATCCATTTGTATATGTGTCCAGTGTAAACACTAAAACTACAATAGTAAAAAAATACATATTCTGATCCAACATGTTCCAAGGAAGGTTTTTTTTTTTTTTTTTTTTACACATAATTTATTTCTGTACTTTTTATATAACTGAAGATAATTGTAAATTAAAATATATGTAAATATATTAAAAAATGTAGAACAAAACTACACTGACATTTTAACATTTTCAATTTAAACCATGATGTCATTCTATTATTTTTCAAATAAACATTGACAAAGTTAATGAATGAATGCATTGTAGAATATTCCATACGTTTTGTTCAATAAATGACAATTTTTTAAAATTATTAATAATTTATCTATACATATATAAAGGGCAGTTGTCTGTATATGTGTGTGTCCAGATAAAACTAAAAAACTACAGTAATTAATGACAAAATAAATATATATAGACTCATTGTCATCCAAAATGGATGGTAACAGTGAATGTACAGACAGACCTCTCATTTACGGACCCCCCCCATCAACAAACTTCAAATGTAACAGACAAAATCTGAGGGCAAAATAAAAAGAAATCTGCAGGAAGAAAACTTCCAATTCGTCAGTGATGTATTTCAAAATTTGAATAGAATGAGTTGTATTAGTTCTCAAAGTGACCGTTTGGTGGTGGTGGCTTGTAAACAAAGATGGAAAGTACAATAGTGTGTGCATGAGAAAGTAACTGTGAGAAATCTATTATTTTTGTTATTTTGATTAATATATCTATATTAATCAAGCTCTGCAGCTTAGGTGGGCAGCCAATCTTGGACAGGATTCTGTAGAGGCCTTCTTTGCTAATAAGATCAAACGCCTTGGTGAGATCAATAAAAGCAATGTACCGGGGCATCTGCTGTTCTCTGCACTTCTGGAGCTGGCAGAGAGAGAAGACCATGTCTACTGTTGATCTTTCAGCTCGGAAACTGTACTGTGACTCTGGGTAGACACGTTTGGCGAGTTTCTGCAGGCGGACCCAGATGACCCGAGCAAAGACTTTACCCACAATGTTGAGTAGTGAGATGCTTCTGTAGCTGTTGTACTCGCTTCACTCACCCTTGTTCTTGTAGAGGGTGATGATCTTAGTATCTCTCATGTCCTGAGGTACAGCCCCTTCTTTCCAGCACTGGTAGAGGACCCCATGCAATGGGAGCAGTAGGGCAGTCTTGCAGTGCCCGATCAGGTCAGCAGGGATCCTGTCACTGCCAGGAGCTTTCCCTGAGGTCAAGCTGTCAATGGCCTTGCTAAGCTCCTCTTTGGTTGGTTCGGTATCAAGGTCCTCCATGACCGGCAGGCACTCAATGGCATCAAAGGCTGCCTGGAGTAGAGGTCGGAATAGTGTTCCACCCATTCTCCATCTGTTGTCTCTTGTGTATGATCACTTCCCCGGTGGTGGATTTGAGGGGAGCTGTCTTGTTCTACACTGGTCCCATTGTCCATCTTGATACCATTGTACATTCCCTCTTATGTTCCCTGTAATTACCGCTGTTTGGATGGTTTCACTAAGCTCTGTCCAGTACTCATTGGTGCAGCAACATGAAAGCTGTGGACATCAACACAGAGTCCTGGGAGAGCTTGGCAACCATACAATCCAAATGGAGAGGAACCCTGACCAAATACCTTGTCAGGGTAGAAGAAGCTAACACAAGTCACCATGGAAAGGCAGGCCTGCAGATTGCAAAGTGACAGTTCCAACAGACCAGAGACAGAAAACACATGCGACCTCTGCAACAGAGATTGTCACTCTCGCATCAGCCTCTATAGTCACAGACATTGATGCTCCAGCCAAGCAGACAACTTGGATGCTACCCATGGTCAACCCTGACCGATAGAGGCCTACACAACAATCTATATTAAGTATATATTTATTTATGCCATAGTATTGATTATAACTACTGGTAGTTACTAGTTTTATAACTAAAAAATAATCCCTTCCCATCTATGGACAATCAGCTTTAATGGACCCCCCCACCTCTATTTGTCTGTTGATGAGAGGTTTGTCTGAATATACAAACTCAGTATCACCTTAAATAGAAGTTTTGTATGTTTGTGTATGTATTATTGACTTATTAATATTTTTTGGCCATCTTATTGAAAATAATTTTTTATTCAATCTTTAAAAAATAAATTTCATTGTTTTTTTGGTTTGTAACTAACATAAAAAGTAAATAATTTTAAATTAAGTTTTATTAAAGCAGAAAAACTATAGCAAACCTTATCTTTTCAAACATTAATTTAAATAAAATATAGTTAGATTCATAAAATAAATATTCAACATGACTAATGTTGACCATAACTCATGTCTGTCACTGCTAATTTTTATTTACCTAAAGTTTTTCTTTTCTTTTCAAATACAAATATAACTTGAAATTTAAACATAATTACTTTTCAAAACTAAATTCTCAATGTATCTTGCTTGCTTTTACTATTTCAAAATAGTTATTAATTAAATTCATTTACAGAAAAATGTTTGCTTCTTTAATAATGTAATGTTTAAAAGTAAAACTTTATTTACTTAAAAAAATGTAAATTCACCTCCAAAATAAATAGTAAATAATTATTTTTTGTAAAAGTAAGGCTTGCTATAGTTTTTGCTTGAAAAAATGATTAAATTAAATGTTTAGATATATCTTAATTTAAGTTTATTTACTTTTTTATTAATAATAATTTGAAAAAAGGTTAATGAACTTTTATCTAAATAAAATAACTTGTAAATTTTATCTAAATAAAATAGCTTGTAAATTTGATTTGTTTGAAAACAACATTAACAGTATTTATATTAGTATTAAATCGAAAAATAAAGTGTCTTTTTGAATAAAAATACGGAGATGCTCAGCCCCCTCCTTGAGTGTGATATTGGTAGTGTGATATTTTCCTAAATTTTGTTATTTTGTAACAAACCAAAAAACAATGAAGTTTATTTTTCAAAGATTGAATAAAAAATTATTTTCCATAAGATGACTGAAAAATATCAATAAATTGTTAATAATGAACTATTATTCAGAGATCTCCCGAGCAATGCCAGGTATCCCTGCTAAGTTTTATATAAAAATGCAAATATGAAAAACTAAACTTTTAACAATAGACCCTACATCATTCAATGATATTTTTTAAATAAACATTAGCAAAAATTAAAATGAAAGATTAATATACAGGCAATCATTTTATTTAAACATTTTAGGGCTTATTTGTTTTAAAATCTACAAACATTAATCTGAAAAAAAACAAATTTCCTCTTTTTAAGCATAAAAAATCTTTGAAAGAAATGAAAAATCATTGAATTGGGAAAAATGTTTTAATTTAAAAATATCTTAAAATATAAAGAGTACAGAAATAAATTATTTATGAAAACCTTCCTTGGAACATATCAGATCAGAATCAATTTAATGATTTGAATATTGTAGTTTTGGGGTTTAAGCACGTACACAAGACTTAGAGCAGATTTAACAATCCTTTTCTTTATATATTTATTTAAGTAATAAAAAAAATGGCTTAGATTTGTCTTGGTCAATTGCCAATGTGTTAATGGTTATTTCAGGCTTTATGTAAGAACAGTGAGATTTAGATATCTCATAGGTATTTGACAGGGTTTGGCATACGGGCCTTCTTCACAAGCTCAAGAACTATGATGTCTGGATGAATATTTGACTTAATACAATCATTCTTAAATTGTGTCATGACAATCATGTTGAACAGCCACATTTCTAAATCATTTCACATTAATGCAGGGGTCCCTCAGGGCTCTGTCCTTGGATCTACACTGTTTCTTATCTTCATCAACAACCTTCCTGATGTCATCAATTTTCAACTAGGTATTTATGCTGATGACACTACTATTTACTCCTGTTTTAATAGTAAGTGCACTAGGTCTAAAAAAGTAAAACTGGCAGCTGCTCATGAAAATAACCTCCAATTAGTGGCAAGAAATAGCTTGTAAATTTTAACACTTCCAAAATGACACTGCTATCTTTTAATCATCATAGAGAATCATTTTTGCCTTCCATCAGCATGGCCGATGCGAATATCTAGGAGAGTAACTTCTTAGTTTCATGTTTTCTACTGACATAGTGGAGTGATTATATTGAATCAATTACTAGGTCTGCTGCTAGGAAAGTTGGTTCACTTTGTCATGCTAGACAATTTTTCTCAACAGAATCCATCTTGCACATTTATAAATCTACCATTTGTCTATGCATTGAATATTACTGCTATATATCTCAAGATTATTGACAAAATCCAAAGAGTCTGTAATGTTACCTGTCCTCACCTGGTACCTTGACTTTGGTCACTTTCCCACTGCTGTGGCATGGCTAGCCTGTCTTTTCTATAAATATTTTCATGACAATTGTTCTAATGAGCTCTTTTCTGTCATACCTCAACTGCATGAAGTTAAGTGTAGATTAGCAAATACATTTTGCCATTTTACTGTTGAAATAGCAAAATGTAACCATTCTATTCTAATAGTTTCTTTTCTCACCTGTGTAACTCTCTTCCAGTTTCTTGCTTCCTTGCCACCTACATTCTTCAAAAATGTCAATTGCCATCTTCTGTCTTCCTAAATCCTGTTCTTTTATTGTTCTTTCTCCTCACTAATGTTTTTCTCAGTCTCCTTCCCTCTCATCCCTTGCATCTTAGTGGCATTATTGTCTTGCTTGGGGTGAAAAGATTAAAAAGAAAAATTATTATTTTTTTATCATTAACAACAACACTGTTCATCATGAATTTGTACATTACCTGGTGTTGTTTTGATATAATAGCAACACTGGCTAGTCCTGCTTAAATATAAGTCTTGCTTGATTCCCCAAGACAAAACTTTCATCAAAACATGGTTCAAATGTAAATTTTATGATAATAATAATAATAATAATAATGTTCTTAATATTTGAATTTTTTATCTTAAAACTTAGTAAATGGAAGAAATCTCAAAATATATATGAGAGACTGGTTTGTGACAAGTGTATTAGATTATTTCCCTACACATCTCCAAAGGAGCACAAGTTTATTATATGTATAGTAGATAGTTTTTTTTCTGCAAATTGCTGCTGCTATCTTACTGCTCCATCTTGGATATAAAAAGTGGCAAATAACTGACCTTATTTTAAAGACCATTTCAATCTTCTCTATGTAAAGTTACTTTGAAGAAGACACAGTATACATTATTTTACATAAAAACAAAAAGAAAAGATTATCTTGCTGTGGGTTTCATTAACAGAGTAATGATGTTCAAAAATATCATTTTAATGAAGATAATTTATTTGCAAGGTTTTATTATAACATATATTGTTATTTTAAAGCTTTTAATGTTCCATTTAAAACAATTGTTGTCAGATTCTAATGAAGGTTTTTTTTCCCACAACTTTGACATATTTTGCAACTGAACTGGCACTATCAGATAAAGAATTTATTTTACAGGAACAAAATTTACATCAGCAAGACAAAACAGGCTTTATGTTAAGCAGCTGATTATTTGATTTTTACTTTAATTGTATTGTTCTAGAAATTAGATCTCGGCTAATTGTAACCTAGTTTTTATTTTTTTTCAAGACCTAAATATCCCAGTTTCAGTATTAATTTAGTAAGAACAGGAGATAAACTAAAATAACACAGTCATATATTTACCATGACACTTTTCAATACATCTTTGTCTTTGTAAAGGTATCATAATCTATGAATCCCCGACAATTAATATGACAGAGGATATTTCAGTTTATTCTCTATTCCTACTGAAAAAGTGTGGGATAATTAAATCTTTAAAAGTAAATGCCAAACTGAAATGAGTTAAAAATCAAATTTCCATAATTACAGAATTTAAAAAAACAAGGATTCAGTTGTGTTATGGGACCTTACCCATAATAACATAATGGACTATTCCATACGTAATAAATACTGCACATCAAGAGGAAGCAGGGTGTTCAGTCTGAAGTCAGCTGACCTCTCTGCCTTCAGGCGGGGAGGAACCCGAACGAGGCTATGCCGAAGGGCGGAGTCTCTTTTGGGGAGGTAAACCGACCCAGAACCCGTTTATATGGGTTCAAAGGGCATATTTTTGGCCGAGCCCATGGGCTCGGAGATCCTACATTAAACCGGCCTTGTGCCACATGATGCCCTCGTGGGGGGGGGGTGACTAAATACTGTTCAGTCTGAAGTCTGGAATGAAGCCCGTCAGGAGTCAGTCAGTCAGAGCAAGTGAGTCAGTCAGTCGAGTCAGAGGCAGTCCGAAACAGTCGCGTTCAGACAATTACTACTAAACCTGATTGTTTGTACTAACACTTTCTACTTCTCTGTATATATTCCTGTTTGTAATATGTCTGTGTTATTCCATATATGTCTTCGAGTTCTTCTTTATTGGTTCTACCTTGGACTATCACTGTGGTACAAGGAACCGGACCATAACAAGTTGCTTAATGTGAATCATGTTTTGTCTCAATATTGTTGATTTTGGGAATTATTTTTCTGATAATGCCAATTCTTTGGCAAAACATATCCAGGTAGTTTTCCAAATTGTCTATATAAGACAATTTCATTGAATTCTCATCCAACTTGAGTCATATTTAAAACTACCTTTTGCAGCATTATGGCAGGCAATTTGAATTATGATCAAGTCTAGGTTGCTAGCTAAAAGGAAGCATTTTCTTCTCTTAATACTAAATATTGAGGTTCCAATTAATATATAATATTTTTGTCACTTTTCTAATTTTACTGATTTTTAAAGTAGCAGAATTTGAATTTGAAAAATTTTTATTTTATTTTAGAATTTTTTTTTTTTTTTCAGAATCCAGAAAGAAAAACATATTGGTCCAAAAGAAAAGTATGCAGCCAATTGACAACCTTTTATTGGACTTGGAAAAACTTAGTCTTGTTCCTTCAAAGCTCAATGAGACAAAATCATGTAGAATGGAATCTGTTCATGTTGAACCACATTGTCATAGAAATCACATTGAAATACATAAAAAAGGTACAAAATTCACCCTTTCTTGTCAACCAGTTTCTTCTTCCATTAGTCAACAAGCACAAAATCTAATAAACTTAAAAAATGATAGAATATTGCCAGTAGAATTAAAACCAGATTTTTTAAACTGCAGTTTTACCTCTCCTAGATCTGATGACAAATATTTTACTTTTCAAAAAAAGCAACAAAAAGAATTTTGTTATTCTATAAACAATGAAAGATATGTACAGATTTCACCACTGCATGATATTTCAACACATTTGTGTCATAAAACAATTGATGAAAATGATGAAAATTTATTTTCTCCTGTTTTTAATAAACTGCATTATCAATACTTGCTTGCTGAAAATAAATCTGAAACTGTAATTTCCAGAGGCAAACATTTTTCTCACTCTAGTGATGTAAACCTAAAAAGCAAAGAAATATCAAAGTTTTTTAGAGTTTCAAATCAGTCTACTCCGAAAGCAAATCATAAAACACATGATCCAGAATTTGTTTTTTCTCACAGCACAAATGTTTCTGATAAATTGAATGAAAACTTTTCTGCAGATAGTTTCATTTTACAAGCAACTAAAATTGATAAGATGGATAGAATGTTCTTTCTCAATGATATTTCTCTGAAGAATGATTTAGTAAATCTAAATGAAATTTCATTTGAAAATGATTTGAATTCTATCAGCAATGATATTGTTCCATCTAACCACAGCAGCCGCCTTCTTAAAAATGATTTCAAACAAGATAAAATAGCATATATCCCCGTAAAAGATAACTTTAAAAATATTCATGATAATTTAATGCTTGATAAAAATGTAAAATCTACAAAGAGCTTCACTGATGTATTAATTTCTGATTGTTCTAATGAATCTTTTAGTGAAGAAAAGATTCTGTTTAATCTTTCAACATCAAGTAATTCCAAACTAGTGTCAAAAAAACTAGGTGATCAAGATTTACTACCTTATTCTTCTTTTGAAAATGATTCTTTGACACTAAATGTAGTAAAGAATGCTTTAAACAGCACATATTCTTTTGAAAAAAATGATTTGGGACAATTTGAGATTTTAACTACATTTTTAGATGACACCTATGAAAATAATAGTTTATCTGTATCACAGAATGAAAATAAAATCAACATTACTTAAACTAAAATATTAGAGAATGTATTTCAGTAATTCAAAATCTAAAGGATTTTGTCTTTACTCTTTTCTATGAAAAAAACAATTCAATTTTATATTTACAATTTTAAGTCCGAGTGACATGCTAAAACAGGAAATATTAAGTCACTGTATAATTTAATATATGTTTATCTTTTTAAATGAGGTTTCATTAATGAAAAATACAAGCATAACATGAAATGGATTATTTTAAAAAATAATTTATTCAGTTCTTGTAATGTTGGTTTAGATCTTACAAAAAAAATATCTGATCATGCAATCTTTGAAAATTTCAACAATATAGAAAATGTAAAATCAGTTATGCACAAATATGTAATCTTTTAGGGAAAACTAAGCACAAACAACAAATTGGTGGCTTCTGCTCTAGTATTATCTTTTTAAGTGTAGGTTCTGATGTTTTAAAATGATGTGTCATGAAGTTGCATTACCGAAGTTGAAAATTCCTGTTTATTTTTATTATGTAAATTTAATTAAAGGACAATGTATTCCAAATAATAAATTTTTTGTCTCTATAAAGCTTGATTGTTATGCCTTTCTTCAGTTTTCTGATTTTGGTAAATTGGGTTTCATGGACGTCATCTATTTTACTAACTTTATTCACATTATTTGGACTATTGTCCTCATCTTTGTCACCATATTTATTACATTTTGGCTGTTGTATGCTCCAGCCTTCTTCAGGTGACTGGAATGTCGAACTGAACCCTCTATTTCGCTCACTGGGTTAGACTGTTCTAGTTTCACATTTTTAATGGATGTCAGTTATCCGTTATCTCGTTAATTTCCCTCTGAAAGTTTTCCACTGCCTTAACCAGGTATTGAACTCACACTCTTTGGGTCCTGTCACTGAATCTAACTAATGCCTTTATCCACTGTGACATGTGTCCTTGAGGACATCTGGGTATTATAAACCTAATGTCTAATGGCATCAGAATCTATATCTGTAAAGCCAACTATATGGTTAAGGTACGTAGATGACACCTTCATACTCTGGCCACACCAGGAAGATGTTCAGGGTCTACTGGACCATGTGAACTCAATAAGACCTTCAATACAGTTCACAATGGAGAAAGAGAGTAACAACACACTCCCATTCCTGGATGTTCTAATATCTCGAATAGAGCATGGGTTTAAGACATCCGTATACCGTAAACAGACATTCACCGGACACTACTTCAATTTCAACTCACACCATCCATACAGCGTAAAGAAAGGGATCGTCCGTTGCTTACAACACTGAGCAAAAGTCATAAGTGGCAACCTAGAGACGTTAGATAAAGAATTGGTCAGTATAAGGAGTACCCTACAACGTAACAGCTACTCTGGGTACATGGTAGCAGCCCCCAAAAACTGGGATAGGCGGGTACAAGAGGAGGAGGACAACACTCAGTAAACAGTCTGCCTGCCTTATGTGAAGGGGTTATCAGAGAAAATACAAAGGATCTGTGGTCCATATAACATCAGGACAACCTTCAAAAGCCCGACAACACTTCACAGATATCTCTCCCGAGTAAGACCCCCCCCCATAGAGAAGAACATGACTAAAGACTGTGTGTACGCTATCCCGTGCAGCTGCGGAAAGATATTTAAAGGAGAGACAGGCCGCCCCCTCAAGGTAAGGCTTCAAGAACACCAGAAAGCTGTAACACGAGGGGAAGTGGAAAAATCAGGCGTGGCTAACCACATATGAAGAGAGAAGGGAGATCACTGCCCTCTGTGGGATCATGTTGAGATCGTAGACAATGAACACCATTGGAAAATTCGTAAACTTAAGGAATCAGCACATATGCTAGGCCACAAAAATCTCCTGAGCCGACCAAGCATAGAAATAAATACAATATGGGAACCAGTAATAAGGAGTGCCAGAGAAAAGCAATGATAACAACTAAGTTGCAATATGAGCTCTGGTAAAAACATGCAATGATAACAGCAAAATTGCAATATGACTGGTAAAAATGGTTGCTGAAGACATTAGGTTTATAATACCCAGAAATTCATACCCAGATGGGACACATGGCACAGTGGATAAAGGCGTTGGCTAGATCCAGTGACAGGACCCAAAGAGTGTGAGTTCAATACCCGGTTAAGGCCGTGGAGAACTTTCAGAGGGAAATTAACAGGAGATAACTGATAACTGACATCCATTAAAGACATGGCATGAGTTCAGTTAGTTGTCAGATGTTTGTAGATCAAAACAGATGGTAATTAGTTGAGCTGAACAAGCAACACTTTACTGAAAGTTCATTAAAATGATTGTTTTTCTTGCAAATACATCAGATCATGTCAGGTTTTGATTTTAGTGATTTGTTATATTCACTAAACTCCTTGTGCTTGATGAGTTCATTTGTAAGAGACAGGATTGATCTAATATTTTTTGATCTCTTGCATTTTAAAAATCTTTTGGCTGATCTCTTAACTAAATTTTTCTTTGAAAGAAATAAGTGAAAAGGATTATAGATTTATTTTTTAATCATTCTATAGTATGACTATGATTTTATTACCTTTATATGATCAAACATCAGCAGAAGTCTTGCAATTCCTGCGAACGAAATGCTCTTTCTGAACAGTATTGAAGGTAGAGATATGAACTGTTCAGAAACTACAAATGTTTCTGAAGATATTAAAATTTAAACATTAAAAACTTTAAAAAAAATCTATTCCTATCAAAAGCACCTGATGATATTGGCACATTCTTGTTGAATGCTCAAGTTGGTAGAATTGACATACCTCTTTAGAGTTGAGAGTATCAATTCAAAGCTAGTAGAATCAATGTTCAACATGAAATTGGTTTTGACAAAGGAATGAATAGGCATAAATAGTAAAACCACCATTTGTTGAGTTCTGACTGATGAAAGTGATAGTGTACTAGGATCTGTTTTGGAGACTAACATTTGATGTTTATCCTCCATAGAGTTCCATGACATCCTGATAAAAAGATATTAGCAACAATCCAAGAGTCAGACCATAAACTAAGAAGTTCAGGCATTTGATGGTCATGGGATAGGTGACTAGTATTCTGCAGGACACACTCCAGTCAAAGGGCAGCAATTTTATATGACATTGATTCCACAACTGGTTAGAAGACCTCTGGTGATATGTTGAGTAATACCATTTTGATAGCTGTCCATGGCTCCCTAGTGTTTGTAGATGCTAGATCATGCATATGAATAGATCTCTCCACCACACCCTATAAATACACAATTAGGCTCATATCTGGTGAATTTGGTAGCCACACCATTTGTCAGAAATCTCCAGAATGCTCTTCTAACCAATTCTAGGCCCAGTTAAGTGGTTCATTATCCTGATTGAAAAAGCTATCACGAATGGATGTAAACAGTAACAAAGTAGTGGTCACCAGTCAACGAGGCTTAGATGAACCAGCAGATCCAACTTATGCCACATGAACATACCCAACATTATAGAACCACTACCAGATTACATGGTACCTTGGGATCCATGACCTCATTGTATTTGAACATCTGAATTCTACCCTCAGTCCAAGACTGGAACTATGTCATTCAGACCTCACATGTTCTAGTTCATTAGGGGCCAATTAGCAATGTCACAAGCCCAGATTCAGTGTCATGATATTGGTGAAAGGTACCTTGGTGGGTCTTCTGCTTCCATATGCTATGAAAGCCAAAGAACATTGAATGGACTTGGACATGCAAATAAATTGATTTTATGATTTAAACTAGTATCATTTGTTTGTTACTGCAGACAATTCTAGCTAGGTACCTGATCACAATCATTAAGAACCCATGTGATGGCCACTGTAAGCAGTAATGTGTTCTATAAAGGTATTCCCAGTAGGCATGTAACACCATAGATTAAGAGATGTTAAATGAACCTATTATGCTTAGTTTAAATGCTGATATTTTACATCTTGCTATGAGCAGCCTAGCTGAGTGTTCAATTATTCACCATATGTCAGAACAACTGATATAGGTTAGGGCATTGCCATGATGTCAAGGTAAAGTGGTACCGCCTACTAATACATAAAATATATATTGCTATCATAGGACTTTTGGCATGTCAATTTATATAAGGTAAATAGTCTTATCAACTTACCATAAATGATATATATATTTCTTAAAAACAACCGATAAGAGCTAATTTTGACATTTTAAATTCATGAAAATCCTTGATTAGTTGAGCAGTACATTCTTCCCTTTGGAAGATCCTTTTTTGTGTCCTATCAAGACAGAGGAGAATAACCTTTTTGTGCAAATCCTTTATTATAGTGTTCGTGTCATGAATAAAACCGTTGTACTGTGAGATAAACTTTTTTTTTTTTTTTGTTGGTACTACACAAACATCCATCAGTTAATTTAATTTCTATTTTTCCATAAAAAATCTCAATCATTACAGAGTATATTTCCTTTATTCTTACTCTAAATTTCTCTCATAAGTATAACAATGAGCACATAGGCATGCTCAGAAAACATAGCATGTCCACTATTTTTCACAGAAAGTTGGGGCGTTTTACTCACGCATTAATTACAGTGGCTTTTTTTTTTTTAGCCGAAAAGGGGGCCTAAACTCTTATTGTGGCCCAGAATAGTTGTGTCCTCTTGAATTATGGTAAAGAAATGGTACAAGACGCCCAATTCATTTTAACGTAATAAAACCTGGATATTCAATCTTAATTTCGTTAAGCATTTGTAAGTAAAACCTTTTTTTGGAATACCAAGTAAAAACCCACTAATCAGAAAAAGCTTATCCCTAAGCAAATTATATAGTAATTTAGAAAAATAAAATTACAGTTCTAGATAGTTGTGGCAATTATGGAAAAGAAATAAAAATTAATCTGAGAATTTCCTGGCATGTGCAGTCTTAATTTGTAGATAAAAGTATTGCAAAAATTGTAATTATTGAGCATATTCATATATCAAGGCTGCTGTAACACGTTGCACTCTCTTGATTTACTGCAGACAGAAGTTAGTGATTACATGGTGCTAGAGTCTTATCTATGGGAGCCTTGAACAGGTGCACAACATCCATTTGGAATGAAAGATTCTTTGATTTGATTGTCTCCAAAAAGTACACAGAATTCTTTAAATAAAATAGAGACTTAATTGTTAGTGGATTATGTATCTTTACTTGTTTAAAATCAATTACAGGATAAAGTTTTCTCCGAGATGGACCAGTCCTAACAGATTTTTAAAATAGTGCTCAATACCCAAACTGTAGAGCAATATAAAGAATTGCTATCTTAAAAAGATATGGTTATCTTACCACACTACTGCAGTTTCACTTCTCAGATTTTCACTGCAAACACTTATCTAAGTAAATCAATGTATAATGATAATGAAATATTTAAAAAAAAAAAAAAAAAAAAAAAAAAATTCACTTTATAACTTTCTGGTATAAAACATCCATTTTAATTTTATTAATTCTGTAATTAATTCTGTGATTAACAGAGTAAAATATTAGAATTATGTTTTCTAAATATCTTCAGGCAAAATGTATAAAAAATATTTAAGGTATCCAATTCCACTTCTATATGACTTTTCGATAAACATGTATAAAAATTAGAAATTTCAAAAAAAAAAAAAAAAAAAAAAAAAAAACAAAGTTCCATAATGAAAGAATTAATTTTTTATTATTCAGTTAATGTCATTTATTTACACTGAAAGGAAGAATGGAAAAATAGAAGAATTTAAAAATTACTTGTTAATTGCTGAAAATTAGTTAATTTAGGGAAGAGCAGTTTTTCCCCCCTAAATTCTAGCAGCAATGTACAAAATGCATAGGTAAATGTAAAAAATACGGATGCACTGAGATAATTTATCACAGCAATTCCAGAATCTTACAGCAACATGCTCCAAAAATATGTTCAAAGAAAAGAATAGAGATTTTAATTAAACTTAATTATATTTCTTTTTCCATTTTTTTTTCATAATGGTTACAAGTCTATGATCTGAGTATCTAAGATTCTATCAAAGCTCATTTCCATTTCAAGGTTTCTATTAAATTTGGAAGGAGTGGATTCAGATAACTTTTGTTATAATTAGATCATACAAATAATCATGAACAATGATACAATTTATTTCATTGGTGATTGGGATTGATTTATCTGGCAGTTGTTTGCATATCTAGTGCATGACTGTAAATTAAAAAGAAAAAATATGATGAACTTTATAAAACAGGAGTAAAAGTTCCTGTGAATTTTTTTTTTTTTTTACAAGATAAATTTCAGATAAGTCTTTAATTATCTGTTCAGTGAAGACTTACTTAAAATTAGCCTGACAAGCCCTTTTTAATAATTCATATTTTTAATTTTTTTTTTTAAACATAAATTATATAAATTTTTAAAAAATTTATAAATATAAACTAAAAAGTAATGAAACAGAATTCATGATTTAAATGATATAAGTCAAAAAAATTCTTCCATACCTACAAAGTCATGACACCATTATTAAATTTTACATTTAATTGACAATTACTCAATTTACTCTTAAACCCCCCCCCACACACACACAGTAAAAATAATATACAATCTCTTACATCTCATAAACCAAGAGTATAGTCAAAAATAGAATGAGCCAATGCCAAATAGCACTGAAACCGGAATTCTGCTTTTCCCTGTAAACCCATGATTGCACAATTCCCTAATGAAAGAGTAGAAATCACTGCATCTCATTCAAGTTGATCCTGTCTATCAGAACAGAGTCTTTGTACAATTAGAATGGAAACTTAGGAAAAAATTCTTGTTGCAAGTGAGCAGTGACAAAGTTATGACAAAGCAACCAGTTGACATTCAACAGAGAAAGCAATGGACAATCAAGATAAACAGACCCTTATAGTTTTGGCACACAGTCATCTTTATAAATTTTCATTTGCTCACATTTTCAAACAGTGGACAATTACAAGTCTAGAGATTGCCTGTCAAGAACTTTATTAAAATTGCCTGCAGTCCACTATCAAATATGGTAGATATTTGCTTATGGTGTAGGAATAATTTGGGGTACAAGTTGTCCAAAGCTTCCTGAATGCATAAGGAATAAATATATATATATATATATATATATATATATACACACACATAATAATGGTTATTTGTTAAAGAAAAAAGCCTAATGAATGGCAAGTCCAAAAAGGTATTAACATTGTGACCTAGTCAATCTGTTCCATAGGATTCAAGTTAGCAGACTCAATGGATCACAAAAAAGAAATTCCTTAGGAAGTCCCCTACAAAAAAAATTTGTTTATACTTTCAATAGAGTTTGGGCATATATCCAGCAAGGGAAGTTAACAAATCTGATAAATCTTTGTGTGTGTGTGTGTGTGTGTGTGTGTGTGTGTGTGTGTATAAAAAAAAAAAAAAAAAAAAAAAAAATCAGCTAATGACAAGTTTACCAAATTTCAATTTGTGTAAAACATTGAGTTGCTTTGTTGCATTAAGGCTCTTGTCTGAAAAGAGGGGTTATGTCAAGTTCTTCTATAGTTAAACAATCTGTATTTATGGTTCAACGAATTATTTGCTATGCAATCCACCTACATAGAATTTGTTTTTGATAGGCAATAAAGTATCAAAATATCTTAGGTGCAGTAACTTAAATGCAGAGTATTTGATTACAGCTAATTTATATCTTTTTGATAGTATATCAATTAGATACATTTTTAAATGTTTTTTTAAATTAAAAAAATAAAAAAAAATTTGTGAGATTTGAAATCTAAAAGCAAGAAGTCAATATGAAATTAACAGTTCAAATTTATCTATTTAAATTTTAAAAGTGAATAAATAAAAAAAAAAAATAAATTAAAATATGCAAAGCAAAATTTAAATGATGAAGCAAGTTTGACATAAAAATAAAATTGAATACATATTTTCACTTATTGAATATAAAATAAAATTTGTCACATTCTTAAATTCAACTTCTCTAAAAACAAAAACTTATGTGCTTATAAGTTTGAATATATTATCAGCTATTTCACACAGAATCACTTGTCAATGTTTAGTAGCAATCTTTGCATCTCATTGAAAAATACTGATCTCAATTTATGCTTACGATAGTTATTCATGATCTAGGATGAAATACTTTATTGAGTCTGCTATGATCATCAAACAAACTTCTGATCATGATGACTTGAGTAAGAGCAACTGACATCATGAGAAATAGTTGGATTCCTGACCACCAATTGACCCGTTCAAAGTTAGATTCCTGGATATTCCGATCCCTGGCTTCAAACATTTTCAAGTAGTTTTGTACTTGATGTGATCTTTCAAGGTTTTCTTTAACACGTTCCACAATGGACTACAAAAAGAAAGAAAATTTAAATCAAATATGACAACATATTCATATTTTCAAACTCTTAAAATAATCCTGATATTAAAAATTAAAATTTAAAAAGGGTATTCAAATACTGATGAAAAAGGATAAAAAAAAAAATATGAAATAATTTTTCTTGCTCGTCAAAAATAGGAACTGAATGAGATTCAGTATTTTTAACATGTTGAAAATATGAAAATCCAAATATTTTCTTAAATTTTGAGTGCAACTATTTACTTTCATCTGTACTATTTTGCCAAAGTTTGTGTATGTTCAAACAACATAGCCAACTAAAAAGTAAGAGGTCCAAATGATGTTGCATAGATAACCACCAGACCTCAAGTAATAATAAAGGCTATATAAGTTGGAGGCCACCAAAGAGTACAGTATATCATTTATAGTCAATGAAGCAAGATATTAGGTTTACTAAGTACAAAAAATGTTTAATTTCACAAAAAGGCAAGTAAAATCAAATTTGACCTCTTAGGTTATTGAAAGTAGAATTAGTTTGTGGTCTTTATTATTTGTATTGCAGATATTGGTAACTTGGGCAGAAAAAAACTGAAGAGATAAGTGATGTTAGGACACTTGAGATCCAAAGGGGTCATTTTTGAGTTAGAATAACAAGGGGAGTGGGGCTAACAAAGCGCTTAAATAACTTTGTAAAATGTTGCACAACTCTGAAAGACATTTCCAGACAAAATTCTAAAATGTTCATAAACTATTTTTTTTTTCAGAACTTTAAATATAGCACAAACTTCAGAAACTATCATTGGCTCTGCGAATAAAGTATTCTTGCTTCACATTCCAAAGAATGATGCAACTGAAGAAAACCTAAAAAATTATTGCAACAGATTTCAAAAAAGGTTTAGTTGTAAAAGTCAACTGACAGTTCCAGACATTTTGGGAATTGTTCAGAAATTAAATAAGTTCCTCAACTCAATTGACCTGCTGTGTAATTCTTTAACTAAAATTTGGGATAGCCATCATAAGGGTTGTTCGATTTAAATTAAATCGATTTTTTCTTTTTTTAAAAAAAATCTTTATTTAAAGCAAAAGATTTAGAAGTAATTGTTTTGCTTTCACGTAATTTCATGAAAGAAGAAAAGTTAAATATATTGAATCAATTTACACTATTTACATCATTCAAACTGTTGCCCTCATCTTTATTGCTATATTTACAAGGTTTTGCTGTTATATGTTTCAGGTGATATATGTGGGAATTTCAAACCAAACACACCGTGGTAGATTGTTCTAATTCCATATGTCATACATTTTTGGGTATCTCAGTTAATTCCCTTTACTAACTCAACTCTCCAAGTTTTTGTTCCTTCTGCTGTGGAAATAATAGAGAGAGAACATCACTGGAAAATATGAAAACTTAGGGAATTAGCACATAGGCCACAAAAATCTTCTAAGACAGCCAAACAGACAAATACAATATGGCAAGCATATTGAGAGCTAGAGAAAAACAATTACAAAAATTGTAATATGAGCACTTGTAAAAAAAATTATAAGTTCTGAAAATATAACTCGCTGGTGCCCCCAAGGACACATGGCCTAGCGAAAAAAAGTGTTGGTTGAGTAATCCAAAAAGTGACATGTGTTATGAGTTCATTACCTGACTACAGCAGAGGAGAGTTGAGTTACTGAAAAAGACATGACACATGGAATTAGAACAATGAAGTGTTCGGTTTGAAATTCCAATGTATATAACCAGAAGACCAGAGTGTACAATGACTGAAACATTGTGAATATGACAATGAAGATGAGGATACCAGTTTGAACAAAGTAAATAGTTACAATATCTCATCTCAGAATATATATCAATTCAAATATTTATTCATCAACTGAATATATATAATTTATTTTTTTTACACTATAAAATAAAATTTTAACCATTAACAAATTTTAAATTCCAACATGAACAATATTTGCATTCATGGATTTAAATAGAAAGGCTCACCAGTCCATAGGATGAGAAAATATTTTTAATGCCAGAAGATGAGGCCACTGCTGGCAGGAGTTGCTTAACTGCAGAAAGTATATCATTTCTCAATACACTTGCATGTGGATTCCACCATTCAATAGTAGAGACTGTCTTACATATGGAGTCTGCAAATTTAAATGCCTGAAATGAAGGAGACCTCACTTGCAATTTCATAATAATGGGATATTTCTCACTGGCATATTCCATTGCAATGTTAACTTCCTCCTTGCTTAATGATTTTCTTTGAAGATAATAATGAACCATGTTGGCAAAAAGGTGGGCTTTCGTGCTGACTTGTACCTTTTTTCACAATTTCTATCAGTTTTTTTTTTTTTTTTTTGGGGGGGGGGGTGAAAAATTCTTTCCCAATATATTCAGCAATAGTGCATGTGTCACTGAATTTTATTCAGACCTTTATCTATGGGTTGTAACTGCAAAAGCTGTTCCTCTGCATATCACATCAGTGCAATGTTGGCTACTTTATTTATCACAAGTGAATCTACTTTGTCCCTGCTAACTTTACAATTTTGGAAGAGATTTAGCCAGTTGTTTATATAACTCTTCAGTTTAACATGGTGTTCCAGTGAGTATCCTGGGGCATGACAAGACAATTGGTGGTATCTTGTCAAGGAATAATGATTGTTCCTAAATCATTTAACCACATAAAGCATGTGTTCTTTTACATTAGCAAAACTCCTAAATGATGAGCCAGGAGATTTAAATGTGTGCTGAACATCCATAAGTCAAAACATTCAATTCACTTTTATCTAATAGCTTTCTCATCTTGCTGACATTATCTGTTACCACACTACCAACATAAAGTCTTTATTGAAGACATGGCAATTTCCTGAAGGTATTCTACAGTGTGGAGTTGGCCTGATGTGTCCGTGTTCACTAGGTATATGTGACCAGTTGATGTTGCGACACATGCGTTTAAAAATTGTTTTCAAAATCAGTTGCTTAATATATCTTGTTCAGTGCGACATTCATATTAAAACATTTATTTAATAAACGTAACATTAGAAACTAAAAAAGAGAAACGTAACATTAGAAACTAAAAAAGAGAAACGTAACATTAGAAACTAAAAAAGAGAAACGTAACATTAGAAACTAAAAAAGAGAAACGTAACATTAGAAACTAAAAAAGAGAAATTTTAACATTAGAAACTAAAAAAGAGAAACGTAACATTAGAAACTAAAAAAGAGAAACGTAACATTAGAAACTAAAAAAGAGAAACGTAACATTAGAAACTAAAAAAGAGAAACGTAACATTAGAAACTAAAAAAGAGAAACGTAACATTAGAAACTAAAAAAGAGAAGAAAAAACATTAGAAACTAAAAAGAAAACGTAACATTAGAGAAACTAAAAAAAGAAAGTAACATTAAAACTAAAAAAGAGAAACGTAACATTAGAAACTAAAAAAGAGAAACGTAACATTAGAAACTAAAAAGAAAACTTTTTAGCAAAAACGTTTTCACATATTGGATAAAAGTGCTTATCACAAGTCTTTCATAAGAAAAGTGCAAAAAAAATAAAATAAAATCAACAAATCTCAATCATCCAAATTGTGCAATACAACTTACCTAATTGCTAAACAGCTTCTATAGACCATTAAAGCAACTAACCTAATTAGCCTACACAAAATGGAGGGTGTGTTCATTCCAATGCTCCCCATAACTTCAACAGACATGCTCTTTGAATTTAACTTCCTAAATTCCTAATGAGGTTTAGTTTTGCCATATCCATTAACAAGGCATGAAGACAATCTCAAGATCTCTAATCTCATCCAGACGTTTCCATGATGTGTGGAGGGAGAGAAAGAAAAAAAGCTTACCTTAAAATCTTCCAGCTTAATTTCCATTAATTCAGCTGCATCATCTTTACTAAAGGTCCAATTACGATTATCAATTTCATCATCTTCATTTTCAGTAATGATATCAAAATACACAACCTTCCGAAAAAAACGACTGAAAGTGTTGTCAAAGCATATTTTATATGTTCCTGTTAACTGAATATCAACTCTGCAAATAAACCAATAAAAATTCAATTTTAAGGGAAAAAATTAAATAATCCTAGATAGTACCTTCAAAGTAATTTTTCATTAAAATTTTCTATGACATTATGAAGGATATAATATACATATGAAACTAATATTTTTAATAGACAATCATCAATTAGCCCTTTTTAATGAATGAAGATAAGGATTTCATGTAGAAGATTAAGAAAAAAGTATTGTCAAAGATAAAGGGAAATAAACAAAGATGCATTCCTATTTCAATAAAAGATTCAAACTAAAGTTACATGATCAATTATCTGACAGTTGAAGAATAGACAGATTTTGATAGAGGGTTTTTTTGGGGTGAAAAATTGTTGTATCTTGTCTTTGAGATAACAGAAAAATAACTAAGGAAGACAAACTTGTAGGTAAGTAATGAAATAGAAGGTTTACTACACCAAGGTACACTTAGCAAACTGAACTAATGCTAACTATTCTCAACTCTGCTTATTTATATGAACAGACAATTCCATTCATTTATGTCCTACATGACATGAACACAGTATTTCGACCATATTTTGGATTGTAAAAATAATTTGTTTTTTTTGGCAAATGAATATTGCAATAACTTTTAGAATAATGATTATTCCAGATACACGTCTACTATTTAACCCATAGCTGAGGGAGGAGATAAATTCATGTGTTTCCCAAGGGTATTTGCACATAAGTGAATGTAACAACTGACTTGAACTCTGCTCTGATTTCTCATTACAAGCCACTGTCCATTACACCATTTGCATATTCATTGAATAACTTAAGTATTAAGGTAAAAAAGTAATTACAAAAATAGTTCATAATGCAATTTAAAAACAACTTAAATTCAAGTGGGTGGGGGAATGCCACTCTTCTTTTTAAAAACCTCTGCATTGATCAAAAACAATAAAAAGCAGAGTATCATATACAAGGCTAGATTATAACCTTTTGTGGCCCCCGCTCAGACAGACCTACCCTCTAACTCACACCCATCTTGAATATTTTTCTTATACACATGATATATTTTACCAACATTTACATAGCTTTAAGTAAACTTATTGCAAGTTCTTTAAATAAACTAGAAGGGCTATATTGTTTGTCAATAAAAATATACTTTAAGAAATACCAATATTATTTATTGCAAACCAAATTAGCACATATTTCAACAGAACCATAGTAAAAAAAAAAAAATAATAAAAAAAAAAATAATAAAAAAAAAAATAAAATAAAATTTATAACCAACACAAAACAAAATAAATATGAATGTCATATTGATATCATTTCAGTTTATTAATCTATTTAGTTATAACATTTAGAAAATTAAAATTACTGCTTTATAAAAATTTCCAAGATTTAAGCATTCTAAACTAAAATCAAACATTAACTGCTTGAAGCAAAATAAACTAAAACATTCTTTTCCTTGCTTTGCATCCTGCAAAGTCAAATAAATATGAGTTTATATCATTTCAGTTTATGAAACTATTTAGAAGTTATAACATCTAGAAAATTAAAGTCACTGTTTTATAAAAGTTTGAGGGCCCTAGGCTGCAGTCTATACTAGCCTATAGGATAATCTGGCCCTGATTATACAGATTTAAAGAAATTGTTTCAATCAGAAAAAATAGCTTTGCAGAATTTCTGCACCTTCTGGACAGTGTAACAGAACATTGTTCCAGGTGTACACAGTTACACTAGTTGGCCTCATGCTATAGCAAATAGAGCATTTCAAGACCTCGTTAAAAGCATCAACACCCACTTTTTCTTCAAGTTTGTAGTAGAATGCAGTTATCTTTTTCTTATTGAAGTAACAATTTTCAAGACCATAACCTGAACTGGAAGTTTGGATCTGACAAATTGTTGACTCCTTGTGGTTCTGGTCAATGCAAATATTTTCTCTCCAAAGAAAATTTGAACAGTAGACCCATGATTCTTAAGTTAGCTGAGTACTTTCTTGCATTTTTCCAGCTTCTTATCCTTTATGAACTCTTAAAAGCTGCATTGGAGTAGGATTTAAGACCCAGCTGTTCTGAAGATTCAGGAGCTATCTAATGCAGAAGTTATATCTTGTGAACATTAATGAATCACAATTCTACTTTTTGTGGACTTCACTGCTACCCAATTTGCTGTGGGTCCTGTTGCCTACATCTATGGTTTTATTGATAACGTAGAGAATGCACAAAGAGACAGCAACTATTTTGGGAATGCCTTTAGGGTTAGTTTGTACATTAAGCAAGTCTGATACATTGTCCTATGAAGCAATTTTCCATATTCCTGAAAAATAGATATCTATTAATAGCTGACTGTATACTTTTTGTTTTGTATTTGGTGTAGTGGTTGTTAGAAAACTAGTTTAAATTTTCTTATAGGTTTTGCTTTTATATCTATATAATGCAAAAAATATCTATTTGTCTATACTGATTTGGAGGACAAACCTTGTCTGTGGATTGTAAAGAGTATTGTGAACTAGCACCAGTCTATGCAACCACATTAATAAGATTAGATTTACAGAGTAAAAAAAAAATGACTGTCAAGACCAGAGTGGATAATAGCCTGTCTAGCTTTGATAAAGAACATAAAAGAAAACCAGTTGCCTCTGTAAAATAAAACTTAAAGAAGAATGAAAAATTATAGTCTGTAGAGATACTATGAAATCAGGATTAGCTGAACTTGTATATAGAGAGGGAAGAGAATACTAACCCTTATAATATGAATTTAAAACAAGAGAAAAGGAATAAAATTGGAAAATGAGAGTTCTTGCAAAAAAAAAAAAAAAATTTAGCAAATTTAATATAGACAGGAACATCATATGAGAGCCTAATTAGAAAAAAAAATTAGGTTTAAGGCCCTAAGATCTCATCTTGTTTGGATAACAGTTTTGTTTTCTAGGAGTGTGATTCTTGGGTCAAGCAGTGCATAAGTACATCAGCTGAGTGAAGAAAGCAGAGCAGATACAAGGTGAAAATTACAATGTCTGGAAATGACAACAATGAGACCAACATATCCATGCCACTGAATGAAATAAAAAGTTTCTAATCAATATTTATTTCAATATGACAGATCACCATCTAAAGTGTTGCAATTAACTAAGATTAATTATGAAGATTTAAATCTGAATCATTGCATAATACGTATTAGATGACAATAGATATAAATGTACACAGCAAAAAGCTCAGTGCAAACAAAAAGGAAATAGAACATTTACAATGTTGTACAATCTATTTGAAATGTAAAGGAAATGCAAAAGATTTAATTTTAATAACATGACATGTGTTTGTTGAATGTATAACTGCTTTAATAAGGCATTGTATTTAATTTTATGATTTTACTCCATTGCTACTTTCCAAATTTTTGTATAAAAATGAAATCATGAAAAGTTAAAATTTAGCATTGTTATTACGTTTCTCAAATTGAGAAATTCTCAAAAATTTGAATCCTAAGCTTTTCATTTTACAAAATGACAGAAACCGCACACTATATATATATATATACACACACACACATACATACATATATATACAGAGCATATTTTTGCTTATAAGGCAACCATTAGATAAGGCATAAAAAAAAAAATAGCAAATTTTCATGAATTTATCATATACTTGTAGTATAAGAAGACTGCTTATTGATTATATAAAGATGTTATTGGAAATGTTACTGTGTCCTTAGAAATTCAAAATAAATGAAATAACAAAACCAATTTTATATTTTTACTATACACATTCCCTAAAAGAAGGAAACCATTGTTTTGTTTAAGTTTCATCAGGTGATTTCTTGCAAATACAGATTCTTCTATATCTAAACAGTTACAAACATTGCCATTTATTTATACTTCAAAAATCACAAATATAATTCTAAATTGTGTTATTTAACACCAAAATGCTAATGAATTTTTAATGAGAAATGAAAATCATGTTATCCTAAATATTATTACTGCCATAATTAACACTACCATGATTACATTTTCTCAGCTAAACTTGCATGGATACAAGTTGATTTCATTGATATGGAATTATTATTTAAATAGGCAATTTATTATGAAGTTATGCCAGTAATATATAAGGTAGTAATGGTTTTATTACATTTATTATCAGTTTCCTTGATAATATGAATCTTTTCATGTACGTTATTGTTTATCGCCATTGAGGCCATGGTTAGCCTACCAACAAACATCACTAAGAATTTAAGGTTTCTTTACGAGAATTATTGTGGAAGATGAACCCCTCAATTTTTAAGTGTGATTTTTGGGACTTAAAGGTTATTTTATATGCAGAGATATATGGTATATATATATCCTGAATTATACATTTTAATGACATAGAAGAGTCAGTCAGTTATGTGCCATGCGTGATACATGCTTAAGCGATCATGTATCTTTTGATACATGACTGACAAGGCAGATTTTTTTTCCATAGTAGGTTGCCATTTCTTTCTGCAGTAGACCAGTTGCCATCCAAGCTATAGAACCTGGTCTGTCTTGCTATTTACCCATAGCTGGGGGGAGGGGGTGAAGAAGAAGAGGATTCATACCTTTCCCAAGGGTATTAGCACAATTAAATGTAATGGATTTGACTGGAATTCAAACTTGGCTCTCCAATTCCTCAATCCTAGCTGCTATCCATTACTCTACTCCCTCCTCATAGAAGAGGACCTTTTGCAAATTGCATATTCATAAATTTGGTATTGTTGGAAAAAGAAAATTACAGAAGATTTAAAGCAGTTAAATTTATTTAAAATTGTGGCTTATGAATCTTTAACGTTTGTCTTATGCCTTATGGAAAGTGGCATGGAAAAATGTAACTTTACTGATTATATTTTAATAATTATCTGTGCTGAAATATTGTTTTAAAACTTTCAAAAACCATCAAATGGAGGTTTTCATTTTTATGGTAGGTAAAATATAAAATTCTGTAATTTGGGTACAAAATCTTTTTCCTGTCTTGACATTTTTCCCCTCTCCATTAGCTAATTATATATAAAATGAAAAAAACAAATATTTAAAATAATATATTGATGTCGCTAAAAAATGAATTAGACAAACTCTTTTGGTCTCACTGTCAATTCATGTATACAAACCATTTCCTCCCCCACAATAATAAAGTTACATCTTTCTTTCCCCCACTCTCTCAATATGAAATCACCATTCTTAATTTTTAAACATGAAGTGGATTTTTCCATTTGGTTTACAGGTCTGAAGATTTGAAGCCGTTTTTTGCTGACTTCAATGATATAAATATCACCTATGGTATTTTAAGTGTTTGTTTTTCATTATATAATAATTGTTGCTCTGTTTTTGACAAAGCTCTCAACAGATCTACATCCTCTCGGAAATTCCATACAGATTACCAATAATTTTATTATATATATATATATATATATATATATATATATATATATATTCATTTGTATTCAGACAAATAAACTACATAGTTACTTAGAATCTATATCCCATTTTATAAATGAGGTAAAAGAATTAGCATCCAGGTCTTACTTAAGCTTGCATTTCTAAAACTAAAATAATTTAAGTCTATTATGCAAGTGTTCTTTCAAAGAAATGATTTTTCACAACAGAAATGATTTATGGTCAGTTATAGAGATTATTGTCAAGTAATATTTTTAGCAGCTATATATTGTATTCATTCACTTATAGTTCCTCTTAAAATGTATGTGTGTTTGTATAGCTTTATCAAATATTTATTACTGATGATTTTTTGACAGGAAATGGTTGTAAAAAAAAAATAAAAAAATTTCTAAAATTGGTAAAATCATAAAATTTGGCTAGCATAAACCTTAGGAAATTAATACAAAATAACTATTATAACTTTCTCTTGTGAATCTAATAAAATTAAAATTTCTTTGATAACATTTAGAGCATATCTCCTGTATGACCAAATTTTTTCTAGTTATTTTACTTTATTTTAAATGTTTTTCTATAAAGAGTGTGTGCATGCAAAAAGTAAAATCTTTCACACAATAAAATTTGTAATTGAGGTTTTCATGAGGGAATTTGACACTTGAGTGCAAGCATCATCCAAAATATGATTGAAAAAGTTAACTTTATTTACTTGTAGTTTGTCCTTTGGGCCAGACAGACATAAATGAATATTTTCCATAAATAATAAATTACAATAGATACAATAATTGATGTGTTGAACAGATTCAGGCACCCACCAACCCCAAAAATTATTTGCTGTACATTGATATTCTTTTTAGTATATAGCTGGCAAATATAGTTAAATGATCTTAAAATTAAATTATTTAGCAAAGTACAGAGAAGATCTAAACCGAATTAATAAAAAGTGTTCACTGACAAAGAATCATTCCAAATTCTGTTGAGACAATTGAGCCTTTTCTTTACATTCTTGATGTCAACATGTTATCCATTCTTCAGCACTTGTTAGGTGTACAACCATGACAAGAGTAAAAACATTTTTTCTCCAGATAAGGGGGAGTAAAAAAGAAGCATACACAAATCAATCACTGCCTTTTTTTCTGCTAAAAATGTTTTACTATTTTCACCTGCCAAAGGCTGAAGAATAGATTAACTAAAATGTTGACAATACATATATGGAGAAGTGGTTCAATTGACTGAATAAAAGTTGTGAAGTTAATTTAATAACCTTTCTCACAGTCCTAGAGACAAAAGGAATCCTTTAATGTGAAAGTTTTCAAAACATAAACCAAGGCAGGTAATCATTTGTATGCAAGACATGTTTGTTGCTACACAGGTTCTGGAAGAATTTATGAAGTGACAATTTAAAGAACCAAAACACTTTTCATGAAGTGCAAGAATCAAAAGAAATGTGAAAACTTACTTATGTGCAGAGTCAGATTTCTTGTCTTCTGCTACAAGGATAGATCCACTAGGGGCCTGGATATAAAAGCTAACATCCATATCACCACCATCTATCACCTACATTTAAAAAGTTGAATTAGTAAACTCTTTATGCAAACAGTTAGAGGACTGTAAATCAGCCATTTAAGATTCATTCAATGCATTATTCAAAATAAATGATTATGATCACAATGCTAATACCACTACTTTACCATGTACAGAAAAATATTTTAATTACTAATTCTAATAATAAAAAAAATGTAAAAGACTTCTACTTTTTAACAAATATACAAATTTAGGAATATATGAAGGCACTTTTCCACAGAGTAAAAAATATGTAAGAAAAAAAAAAAAAAAAAAAAAAAAAAGAAAAAGCAGACACCAATTTCCCACACCTTAAAAATAAAAATCACTATATACCTAAAATACTTTTTGAAGCCTTTTTTTTTTTTAAACTTCTACACCTGGTTTATTTGTAAAATTCATAGAATATATCTATTGTTGATTTTTTTTTTGCACATTTTTTTTTTTTTTTAAACATGCTATATCTTAAAATTGTACTATCAAAAATATGTCATTTTCTTTCACAAATTAATCTAATGAGCTTTGGATTTTTTTTTTTTTAATTATTTACACTTCGATATTTAACTGACGTTTCCATGAAGGTAGGATGTGACACAAGGTCTTTAATGTAGAAAATACCTACCAGTACCACCCATGACCATTGTCGTCAATATTATTGCACCGATCCTACCTCCTAGTGCAATGAATTGGACCAAACACCTCCATTGTAAAACGAGGAGAACAGATACTACTAAAAGCATGAGAAGCGTTATCTACCTGATCTCTCCACTAATGCAGATGTGAAAGTATTTAGAGAGGGGGGTTTCATATGCATACATATGGACCAAGAGCACTTCGACGTGGTGTAAAAAAGGTTTAGCAAGCATGTCTCACTAAATCACAACTGATTGATTAGCGATGCTTCATACTTGCCGTCTTGTGCCACATCTAAGCTACACTTAGTAAATCACTATATGAGCAAAGGACAAAAATTGTTCAGTCCCCGCGACTACCATCACGCTGGCCACGATTACGCTGACCCTTCCCCCACAAACACACCTCTCTTGGTGCAACGAGAAAGGTGTTGCCGCAGGGTTGGAATCCCCGCGACTAAAGTGCCTTCTCTCATCTCAAATGAATAGAGAACAGATAATAATTTTTGATGTTCATCAAAAAACTGATTAAAATTTTTCAATTACGCAAGGTACTTTTCATTCAACATTATAATTTCTTTAAATAACAAACATGCTCTTCGTAATTCTTTAAAATTTCAATTAAAGTTACAAGACAACAACTCTTCCACTTGACTAAATTATCATTTTAGTCACGCGGCAAGTATTTCAAATTAAAAAGAAACATTGCATACTTTTTTTTCTTCTTTTTTACTTCGGATCCTTTATCTGGGGAAGTTTTTTTTTTTTAGTGATTCCAGAAAAGCTTAACCCACAACCGGTCTTTATTGCAAAAATAGTGGCTTGCGGAAACATTTCGCGACTGACTTATTTTATTTTACATAGCATGAATAAAAAAAAAAAAAGTGGCTTTTTTTACTGAGGTTGGGTGGATAATGCTTGCCGAGTGAGTAAACTGGGATTCTAGCATTTTTTTAAATTATTATATAAAAATTTAAAATAAATCTTTTTAATTTTAACATACACAAACATCATCCGCAGTTCTCTTTTGAATTTTGTTATAGATTTTCAGTCAGGAGTAGTCTTCACAAGTTAAAATTATTCTACTTTAACAAAAGGAATAACACTGAAAAAGTTGTACTTTATTTAAAAATTGCGCAAGTAGATTAAACAAATTTAAGTTTTAAAAATAACTTAAGATTTCAAAAACTATTTTGAACTTAATCTTTATTACAAGAGTGCTAAAAGCACAAAAAGCCAACTTTCAACAAGACAAATTCCATATTTCAATTTATTTGGAAGATCATATTTATTCGTTATTACTACGATAACACATTCCAAATAAACAAATTCTGATGCGATCGATTTTCCAAATATTTTGCGAAGTACTTTCTTACCTGATATTCAACTTCCAGAGTGGTCTCCCCTGTTTTAGTTATCTGCTGATAAAAGCATTCTTGCGAACCTGGAGCGATTTCTACTGTTAAGTCTGTGTCTACTGAATTGACATATATTATGTTGACCAAAAAAAAGGATATCAATAGCAAAGTCTTGCTTTCTTGATTTGATAAATTACTTATAAACATTATTAATGTATTAATTTCTACTTTACCTAATGCGTTTGTTTGGGTTTCTATCACTGAAAGTATTTAAACGAAAAAAGAAATCTGATTCAATAAACCACGACGAACGGTATCGTGTGCTGCGAATTCGTTATTTTCCCTCCTCCTCTTTCTACTGCTTGTCTTTTCATACGTCTTCTTCAAAATCACCAAATTAAATAATCTCTATTTTTCTCGTTTTCTTTTTTTTTTTTCCTACCTCCACACCTACAAGAATTCTCGCTCTCCTTTTTGCTAATCAACCGGAAATATAGTAAGCGTGGCGGATGTGATTCATTTTAGCCTGCACTAAATAATTTCATCAATGACTGTGAGCATATAGAGATAAGCTTTAAATTATAGATACCTATATGTAATTACATATGCACGCATATTTAAATTTTTCATTTTTCTACTAAGAATACATATTTTTGAACTGTTTTATTCTTTTGGGCAGCTATTTTTGTATTCCCTTCTGAATATTACCGGCGAATTACATCTGTTTTGCATATACGGTTTCTGAATGAAGTCGCGGGAAATAGTTCATTAAATATAATCTGTATCTCGATCACTTATAAGTTCAAATAACCTGTAAATCATTATATATTGGTTAGTATGAATGTTTCTTTCATTCCTGAATAGTGATCAATGATTTTAATTTATTTTAACAATCATCTTAGAGTTTTTTTTGATGCACTATGTTAGTCAGTACCTCATGGTGACTCGGTTATTGTGCATTGATAAGATGAATACTTATTATGTCGGTGTAACAATATTATTTAGAATGATTATATCACAATTACATTCAAATACTGTTTGAATTGAGTTGTATTGCGATAAACATTGCATACATGTTTATTTTTCTATATTTCATGTAAGAAATATTAGACTTAAAGTTACTATTTAAAATTATGTTGTCATTGAAACCACTTTCTTTTGCCCAGTTCAGTGTAAAAAATATTTGTACAGAAGGATTTTTTTTACTTAATCATTCAGTTTTCAACTTTACCCTTACTTTGTGCATTATCTTATTTCAGTAACACATTATTCCCAGATCTTTCCTAGAGTATCATTCATGAATACCTGGATAGACTTTACAGAATGGAATCTTCAAATGTCGAGGATCCTAAAGCAAAGGAAAAAGTTATGCAGCAAATATCGAATTCAGTTCCACCTGAAGAATTACCTCAGGTGGGAAAGGAATATCAAAAGAAAGAAAAACATTGTGATGCCGATATGGAAGCAGAGAAAGAATCGGACACGGAAAAGACTCCTTTAATTGATGAATTACAGCATGGCTATCGTATTCTTTGTGAATTAATGTCCGATTCGAATAAAGCAGTAAACTGGCCATTCTTGAATGCAGTTGATGATTCTCTTCCAGAGCTTGAAGACTACTATGAACGGATTCCTCGTCCCATGTGGATGAAAAAAAGTAAGTTGTATTTTCATGCCTCTCTCCATCCCCAATTGTTATTTTTCTTTTACAGTTTTCTAAAGTTATGCTGTTTGTCATAATAATCAAGATTGAAGCCATGGAAAATAGTTCGATTTTAAATAAACCGTTCTATTGTTTTTATTGCATGGTAGTCTTGTTTTTGTCTTGATTAGTTTTCAGGCTGATTTAAAATTTTTGCTTTTGAAACCTTTTTTATTCTTAGGCATTTTACTAATCCTTATCAACAAACTAGAATTTTTAAAAAAATCAAACAAAAAAACTATTCACAATTGTGACAATTTTCTTTTTTTTAATAACACGATGTCAATGAGTAGACCTTCAGCTTTTTATTTTACTTTGAAGAATAACTAGTATTCTCGACTCGGCGAATACTACTTTTTTGTTTACAATTTTTCTGAGATTTTTCATTTTGTAGCTTTTTTTTTTTTTTTTTTTTTTTTTAGTAATATTTTCTCGTCATTCTCACTCTCTCCCATAATGTCTATATTTTTTCATATCATTTAAGAATGATCGCTTGATTAGTAGTTTTTTTTTTTTTTTTTTTAATTATCGAAATATTAGTAAATTATTCAATTGTAATGTAAAAATAGGTTCTTCTTTTTTCTTTCTTATTTTATTTTGAAATCACCATTTTATTTAAATGGTGATTTCAAAATAAAATAAGAAATTTCTAAAATATTTCCTTTAAAATTTTAAGTTTGTTTTTTATTGTCCATAATCTAGAAACAAGATTTACAGTTTAACTTACCGCTTTTAAAGTTTAAAATCATCCAAAACAAAACGCAAATATCTTTTTTTTTTTTTTTCTTTAACAGCACAATTAGCTGTATCCCGATCACAAAAGCAAAAGAAAGATTCAAACTCAAAGTATACATATGCTGTGTAGTTGTGACGATTTTTGGTAAATGATTATTAATATTACGTTTAGAAAAGTGAATTAATTTACGCACCTTTTTTAATGAATTTTTTATTTTTATTTTATATATTTTTATTATTTTTTATTTTATTTTTTTTTTGCTTATATTGACAAGGAAATTTGCGCTTCTTCATATTTCTTGCTTGAATAACAGAAAGATCAGTAATTTATTTCACTTACTGTGTAGTAAACGATACAAAAATGACACTGTTGTAAAACTAAAATATCTCATCTTCGTTTCACCTGTTGACGTTTTTAGAAAATTTTAGATATTTGACCATGTTTGTTTTATTTTAACTTTGAATTTATTTTTGAAAATTTTGCTTACTCAAAAATTACGTTGAATTTTCTTATAGCAATCTATTTTGCAAGTTTTTCAACAAATTAAAAATCCTGTTGTAATTTACTTACTACTTCGCTAACCACTGAACGAGTATGGTCTGTTATTTTATGTCCTGTTTTTAGTTTATAAAATTATTTTTAAGGTATTTTTTTTTTTTTTTTTTTTTTTTCTTAAGTTGACAATAATACTCGTAGAGAAAAACTGATTTGTACCGGGAAATTTAATTATCAAATGTCAAGTTATGAGTAATTTATTAAATTTTCTATTACAAAATATTAGTAAAATAAATGAATTATTATTAAGGATTAGTAACTTCACTTTACGCCTAGAATCATATTTACCAATTTAAAAAAAAAAAAAAACCGAAAAAAAACAAACTAGCATTTGTTGAATATGTTGCAAAGAGCTGCTGCTGTTTGCACGTGGAGGTGGGTCTGAAGAAAAACCTAAAAGTACTGCAAACGAACTATAGTTAAGAAACCGATATGAGTCTTATATATATATATGTGTGTGTGTGTGTGTATGGAATAACTTTTATATGGTCTAAAAAATTTTTAGGCACAGGATGTGGTAATATACCTTTTTTCACCCTTAGCACTGTGAAATAGAATGGCATATTCCACATTTAAAACGAATTATTTTGGTTGAATAAAGGTTTAACTAAAAACTTAAGGCCTCTTTTATTTTCACTTCGTTTGGGGATATAAAAATTAGAACAATTTAGGAAATAAAATGCATTTTTTAAAAAAAATGAACGTTTTGGAAGTTTTTTTTTTTTTTTTTTTTTTTAAATCATTAATTCAATTACTAAATAAAATCATTGGTTTAGTAAATCTGTCAACATAACATTACTCTCTTTATTAAAAAATCTTTGAACAATAAAATACTTTTGAAATTTTTAGTATTTATTAGCTGATAAAGTTTAATAATGGATCCGATTTGAAACAATACTTTTAGTTCAAAATATCGTAGAAAAGCATTTTTTAAACTGTTTTCAACAACCCATATAAAAGTTGACAACTTTCTCGATATAGACTTGTTTCTGAATTTTTTGTAAAGGGTTTGACTACTTGACGAATATAATGCGAGGACCCTTTTTATATAATTTTTAAGTACCCAGTAATCTTTAAAATTTTGGAAACTAAGTAATCTAATATTTTATTGAATTTTAGGTACCTTTTGCTTTAGGTACCTAGAAAAATTTTCTGAAAATGAGCATACCATAATAAAAAGTTTTCAAAATATTTAAAAAAGGTAAGATTTTTTTTTTTTTTTAATCCTTTCTAGAACGTTCGTAATTTTGGTTAAAAAAATTCTTGTTTTTCTTGCATAAGTTTGTGGGCCAAAGATTAGGGATTCTTGGCATTAAAACATTGTTTTGGAAAGTTTAATGAAACTTTCAGGACTTATTCGCAAATGAATGAAATTATTTTATAATTTTTTTCTTATTTTTGTTTTACGTCTTAATTTCCTGAAATTTTGAGAAATTAAAATTTCAACAAATCCACTAACGCCAGGTACTGTATCGTCGAAGTAAAATTTCAACCTCTTCATATTTATTAGTTAAAAGCAGGATTCTTTGGAGAATTTAAAAATCAATTTGTTTTTATCAAACAAACTCCATTTACCAAAAACTGGCTCTGAATCATAAAATAAAAAAAACTCAATAAAATTATCTGTTTAAAAGTGATAACACTTAAAATTCAATAAAGCATTAGATTAGAGAATATTTTTCTAAATTTTTTTTTTAGTTTACTTTAAAAAAAATCATAGACATTCTCACCATTTTCTTCAATTGTGTTTTACAGATAGTCTCCATAGAACATTAGACCTGTTATGTCAAAACATCTACTGTCCATTAAAAACACAGCTACTGTCTGGTTAAAAAATGCATTTCTGCAATATTATAAACTAAAAGTAAATATTTGTTTCAAATTAGATTAATTATACTTTAAATGGGCTAATATTCCTCAAATAAATTTTCAGAAAATTATTTTTGAAAGATTTTTTTTAATAAAGAGAATTACATTGTGATGAAAGACAAAAAAAGGCACTAATCGGCTATTAAATTCTTTGACATCAATTTAAATTAGTTTTTGAAATACAGTATTTTGTCTATTGGAAATATTAAATCTATTAGCTTGAAATTAAAACAAAAATAAAAGCCTCAAGAGATTTTTCATTTTTAAAAATTCATTTTAAACTTACCGCATTTTTTTTTTTTTTTTTTAAAACCTTTCTTTTGCTTTTCTTTTTTTCCTCAAGCTTAATGTTTATCGAATTTATTACTTCTCATGAATTTTCTCATTAATAAATATAGATACCTTCACAGCACCATGCTACTTATAAAGGCTGTAACTCTGTTTTACAAAAATACTCTGGATTTTAGATGAATATAAGAATAAATGCTAGTAGTTAAATAGGTTTCTACTTT